GCGGCACCTTCAATATGACGCGCGCCTGCATCCCACACATGCCCTCATCATCAAATTCAGCAGCAATCGTCAACATGACCAGCATGTGCGGTCTAAAGGGGTACTCTGGATTCAGCGTCTACTGCGCAACCAAGTTCGCTATTGTGGGCTTCACGAAGGCGTTGGCGGTGGAGTTGGGACCGCGAGGGATAAGGGTTAATGCGGTTGCGCCAGGGCCGACGGATACGCCTACGATGGTGGGGAACGTTGAGGGAGAGGAGAAGAATGAGGAGATGGTCAAGGGGGTTGCGTTGGGGAGGTTGGGAAGGCCCGAGGAGGTTGCTGATGTCGTGGGGTTTTTGTTTGGGGATGAGGCGCGGTTTGTTAATGGGGGGGTGGTGGAGGTGACGGGGGGGATGGTTTGATTTATTTATTATTGTTATACTGATTCTGGGATTGGGGTTGGTTGTGGAATGAATGTATAGATGATATGTGGTATAGGAGGGAGGTGGTTAGGGTTATGGTTGTGTTTATGTTGGGGGGTTGTGGTTGGGGATAGGTTATATATATGTAGTTGCGCTGGTTGCACAAGACACTAATTGTATGATTAAGTTCAGATAAAAGGGTTAATATGGTCAATTATATACAGCACAAATCGCAAAAATAGAAGACATTAATGGGAATTAAGATGAAAAAAAGAAGACATAGCATGTCCTGGTTTCGATCCAGGGACCTCCGGGTTATGAGCCCGGCGCTCTTCCCCTGAGCTAACATGCTGTGGACGAAGATTTATACCCGCTCTTTGACACTATATTCCTGTGACATGATACTCGGCCGAGAGCTGGATGGGGGCCAATCTTGGCAAGCATAAGGCGATTCTGGGATCTTGCAAGAGATTGATTATGATGGTGGACTGTAGGTATATGTGCTACTGTAGAGGTCAAAGGCAGTGACATGCCCGGTAGTGATTCTATAGCGTTGTCTAGACTTTCATAAAATGGTCTCGGTTTTCCATTTTATTGCTTGAATGAATGCCAGCAGATTCTTCCTTCAGAAGCAATTCTGCATATTGAGCACAGACGATGAATTGGTGCATTGACCAGCATAGCAGTAGTGTAAGCTGGTCAAGGAACAGAGATTATCCTATCCATATACAGAATGATCACCACTTGGTGCCTTGGTAGCATCTTTTTTCAGCCTGCTTGACTTGCAATATATCATCATGAGGTTTTACCGGTCACTCCCAGTCAATTAGCTATGCCAGCAAAGGATCCATTGCAGTCACTCGTTGCCGCTGTTGCGTTGCAATTGTATCAGATACTTGCTGTCGGATATATAGTTCCGCAATGTTTCAAGTTTGTGTATTCAACTTGAAGCAGTGCACACATGCACAATAGGCATCATATTAGGGACTCTTAAGGAAATGTTCTGCTCTGCGCGTAGGAGATAGTTCTATGTTTTAGACTACATTGCGTCTTCTACGATTATATTATCTGTTTCTGTTTGTTTCACTCCAAAACCGTCCACTACAAATTCATCATAGCAAGTGATAATATATATTCCATCCACACAATGCCAACCGCTGCCCACACTGAGTTTCTTAACCGTACACCCATCTTAAGCCACAGCGGATGAATACCACCGCGACAAAGCCAACCTTACAAACACAACATACTACAAACCATCCACAACATCATTTACTCTACACAACCAATACACAACAAACAATAGCACCAACATTCAACGCCATCATGACAGAAGCTGAATAAATCAGATTACCAAGCCCACCCACCCAGCCTAGCGTACCGAGTGTCCACCGGAGCCCGGTGGCGGGCCAAGCACTGGCCCCTCTCTGCCTTCCTTCCATTCCCCCTCCACTCCACTCCACTAAAGTTAGCTCAGCTCCAGTCCATTAGAAAATCCCACCAACTAACGAACGGAAAGGGCCCGAAGGAAGAAACATAAGCATAATAACAATAATAACCATGATAAATAATATGAACGAAAAACCCCTCAACTTTAATACTCTGCCAGTTCCAGACCTTCAATTGCTTACAATTCAATCTGTTGTTGCTTGCCGAGCGGTAGTTGAGTTAGGATTTTTGTTGACAAATAATTTCTCTATCACCTTTCTTCTTTTGGTTATAGACTGTCAGCGGGATTTGTGTGTGGTAGTTAATTTATTTAATTTTATTGTTGCTATGAAGGTTGTCCATTGTATATAGGCTATATGTTATAGGATTATAGATGGCTATTAGTAGTTGTTTACTTTGTATACAGAGTAGTTAACATGTGAAAAGTTGCTGGAAACCCGCGGTTTGTTTAGATTTAATTAACCCCTTCCAATTTACTCGGTCACTTTACTATATGAAGAAAACGGCGAAGATTGAATCAAGACATGACATGACATAACTTGTTTCTAAGCTGAGCTGAGCTGAGTTGAACCGAGCCGAGTCAAGCACGGTTCAAAGGATGGACAACCACTTCCAGCATAGTACCTGATCAACAACAATAGTCCCAGCCGTTATACATAACTAAAATACCCACTTATTCGAAATGTCAAGGAACAATCACTCTCAGCAGGTTAAGCCGAAGCGATCTGCCAAAACAAGGGAAGAGAAGTAAACTAAGAGGGGGAGGACGCGAGTCAAAGCTTACTTTTTGCAGCGCACTTGCGGTAGGGGAAAAGAAAAGAAAAGCCCAGGCCAGGCCACAGCCTTGTTTACTGCTTAGTTACATTTTTTTACTTGACTAGAATACTTAGTTGACACCAGTCGAGAAGTGTGGCTGGCCCTCTTTCTTTGATGAGGATTACTTGCAGCGAAAAGGCCGTGGAAGTTACCTACTCTGTACTAAGTAAGTGTGTTTTTGCTTTTTTTTCTTTTGTTTGTTTGACTGTTATGTTCTGCTAGTAGCTGGTTACTACTTCCGTGGGTTCCTATTGGTATACTTCTTTAGGTCTGTCTTACCTACTGTATGTATCTGTATAGCTCACTTAGTATGCATCTGGATAGCAGTACTACAAAGTAGGTAATTAGATAGATCTGGGTGTTGTAAGTAGCAGCAACACGCCGTGCCCATAACCAAACAAACCACACAATAACAACACCGACTAATCAAATCTCTCACAAGCCACGTGGAGTTCCAAGTTCCAGTCCAGTTCCTAATAAGAAAACGTGAGTGGATGGAGACCTCATCACCCAATGAGAGAAAATCGAATAAGGGTTGGTTTGGCTATAATTGTGGGAACTAAGAATCTCCTGCTGCTGCTGCTACGAACTGGAACGACTTTGCTTGCTTGCTTGCTTACTTGCTTACTCGGCTTCGAGTGGAGCGTGTTTCTCCCGCCGGGCGGATTCCACTTGTTTCATTTTGTCGGGTCGGCTGGTGGGTGGGTGAGTGGATGAATGGGTCGGCAGAGTGGAAGGGGAGGCAAAAGGAGGCAGGTTGTGTCGTGTGCTTGCTTGCCTTGCTTGGTATTGGTACTTACCGTACGGGTCATTACTATTAGTGTTAGTATTGTTTGTGTGGTGATGGGATGTGATGGGAGGTGGTACATTGTTTTGGGGGTTGTTTGGGGGTGTTTCATCGGATCGGAAGTGAAGTATTATCGATTATTTGGGATGGATGGAAAAAGAAGTGATAGATGCATGCAGGTATAGAGATTAGTAGGCCACGAGGCTGAAGATAGACGATAAGGAAGAGACTGAATGGGGATGGATTCGGAAGTATTTCACACAGAATCCTAGGACCTGGATGGACCTGCAATGCGGAGGAAATATGACGGGCTTATGATCTGTCCAACAAGGGATCCATACTACATTCTGGGAAAGTTTGGTAGATGTGCAGGTTGCAGATAGTACCTGTCTAACGGTAGTATCTCCCCTTCAATCTCACGGTCGGGTTACACACAACAACGCGGGTTGATAGATCTATACGCGGCGGGAGATCTATCGCGACCGGCAAAAAGTATATCGCGAGGATTGCGATAAGAGACAACCCGGGATTCAAGGCACAACGGATTAACTTTTCGAACTTATCATATAGTAGGCTAGTAATGTGCCGTCCTGGACCTACTGCACTGTGACGTGATGTGGTAATTTAATATCCTTCCTTCAGCAGCAAGAATTCCTCCCCGATCGCAAAGCGGCTGTTGCTGGATTCTGATCCTGGTCGTTGGTTCATAATACTTTACCACAAGTCATGGTTATGTCGGTTCGGCGAAACTTCGTCAAAACACGCGGGTTGCTCGGGGATTGTTTGGACTGTTTGGGACATTCCGTTGCTTGGGACACAAGGAGGGTCTTAAGCCAGCTGAGATGGTCTGGCAAGGGAAGGAAATCCTTCCGCTGCACTCGACTCTGTCCTATACTTGGCTGTATGCGTATAGAGTTCTGGCTGTACGCCATATCCTCCGTATCCAAGGTACACTTCAAACTATCATTCACAGCGGCTGCACTCCGCATGCGGCAAGCAGTTGCTGCGTCCGGATGTCGCTCTCTGGATGGATCATCCGGCTGGCTGGAGATGGTCCGATCGCGCAGCAAGGTTCAACCCGACTTGAGTTGTCTCCTCGTACTTTGGGTGTAAGTATCAGACATGCTCGATGCTACTGCGTCTCGTATCGTATAGGAGGGTGGTAGCGGGATGCTAGATGCTGGACTACTACTTGCCGTCTTCTGCTAGAAGCTTACCCATACAAGGGCGCAGGCAGCAAATCGGAGAAAGAAATGGCCGTTGTCGGGCGGCTGCCCGTGTTTTGGGGGGGTGTTCACGGAGGACTACAATAACAAGTATGAGGCGGTTTGAAACCCCCCAATCTTACTGTGCTCTGGGCAGTAAGTGAAAATAGTCTGTCTCTAAAGGGGAGGTTGTTGCATTGCCCAGACGGTAATACTCCGGAACTCCGGACCCCAAAGATTGAGGAATCAAGGTGATAGACAGGAGGTGATTCGGATCTCTGACCCGAAGACTCGTCGTTGAGCATCTGCATACGTACTTCAGTTGTTCCAGGGCGCGAATTGGATGGACGCCGTCTGTTTCGTTCATCTAGAAAGGAATAACGGCCGTTGTCGGGCGGGAGGCGCAACACCTCGGTGGGTTTAGTCGTCAGTAGACGCAAACTCAAGCATGGGAAGGATCCCGATCGTCCCCCCAGACAGCACCATCAATTTCCATGTGACCGGCGGGATTGCCTCGCTTTTCTGCGCTCTTACTCAATTGGGGGTGGGAAGGGAGGAAATGGTGGCTGACAGCGGGATGAGGCTGCCTGCAGAGGATCCAATATTCGGATAGGCCACCATGGAGGTTTTAGTCTAGTAGTTCCGCTGTGTGATGATAGCCGCGCCAATCCTGATTATATGGAAGGGCTGTGATTGCTCCGGATGCGCATGCTCATCCCGTGTCTCTCTTTTCTGTGTCTGCCTCTGCCTTATGGAGCTTACCCAAGGATTCACTGATCTAACTTGGTATGTGAGTATGGATGGCTATCGCGATGCGACTAGTCTAGTAAGTCTAGTAAGTCGCTGGGATTACTGCTGGATCCCCCCACTTGAATCCTGGGCTGCACTCGGTAACTGGGATAGTGCCGAAGGGGGATCAAGGTGCGACCCTGGTTCGTATCGGAACCCTCGGGCATGGGAGGCGGCAATTATTTGATGCACATAGGATCTATGACCCTATGATTGCGATCAGGCGGGTTGATTCCTTTTTCTTTTCTTTTTTATTCCTTTCTTTTTCGTTGCTGTTTCCCCTTCCCCTCCTGCTCCCATTTGCTTTTTGATCAATGAAGCCAAGAGACATAAAGTAAAAAGGACCAAAAAAGAAAAGGGGGGAGAAGTAGAATGAGCTGAGAGGTCGATCAACAAAGAAATAATCCAAGGGTGCATTCCTGTAATTGAAGTTCCTTGCCGAACATGGCTGGATTGGGAAGTTCCTGGTCGGAAGCGATCAGCTCGGTTGCTGACCGTTTATCCATGCTGGGGAACCGGTCGGTGGTTCGAGTCTGGAGAGTGATGAGAGTGAGAGTCAGAGTCAGATCCTACCTTAGTCCATTAAACTAATCACTAGTGACCTAGATGCTCACTTGTGGATATACAATAAAAAAAAAAAAAAGGTAACATTTTTATGGAGCATACGACCACCTTTCCTGCCACCGGATATACGAAAACCGAAGGGAAAGGAAAAATGGCGCAGGTGATAATTTGACTTCTTCCATCCCTCGTTCTACAGACCTTCGATTGCGTAAAATCCAGGTTTAGCGGCCAAACGCCGTCCCGTCAAATTGGGTACGGAAGTTTGTTTGGGTCGAGTCCATCGGGCGCGGTGACGGGTTGGGTTTAGATAGTCCTGGTAGTACCACCACAACCACCACCAGCGTCACTAATTCGTCTAGTCGATTCAGTCCCAAAAGTCACTCGGTAACTCCGGGGTTGATGGCTTTTCCTCTTCTGCTTCCTTACAGCCGGATTACACCCGGGGTTATTGTCCGCCTTGCTGTTTTCCTGGTTCACGCTCATCATCATCCCATCGTTGATTGGAGAAGAAACCGTTGGAATGGTTACGCAAAGGAGTAAATGGCCATGTGTGAAGGAGGGTCAAAAGGAAGGGCCATGATCGACAAACATTGGGCGGATAATCATTTTCATTCTGGTTCCTATTGATCTGATGCCGTTCAGGCCCCCCTCTTCTCCTCCGTCTGAACCAGAATGCCAACTAACTAGTCAGTCAAGCCTCCCCATGCTTGTGTCTCTCCCATACTCCATCTGGGCAATCTAGTCGCATATTAGGCCGGAACCGTTTTCTGTCGGGCTCCATCCGCTGACAGGCTGAAGGGAGACTAGGAGCTTAGTGAATTTCAGCCTGCAACAGACGATTCGTCTAGGGGAGAATCAGATAAATAAGCGCAATAAGAGAGGCGGATGCCAAGTAGATAGTAAGTCGCAGGAATGGGGAATGGATATTGTCGGGAAAAAAAAGACCCCTCCATGGTTTGTCATCGTTACTATTTGGATATTTGGATATTTTTTTTTGTTTTGTTTTGGATCTGGATACTCTTCCGTTTAGTTTAATTTATTTCCACTACTACGGAGTACTACTACTAGTTATAGTTCCGATACGGTGAAGTTCCCTTGTCGCCGAGTAGTTGAAGCCCAACCAGGGAATCAATCATTCATTCATCTGGAATGGCAAGCGGGCAGAAGAAAGGGAGGGGAGGGTGTGCTTTGGCCCCCAGAGCCACTGGAAGCACAACAGGTTGGTAATCGGATAGTTGCTTGGATTTATTGGATGGTTGGGCTCTCTTTGACCACTGTTTAGGCAGATCGAGGAAGGGACACACACACACTCACTGTAAGTTAACTCACTTATCAGCAGTACATAGTAAAGTAGTATAGATGGAGGGGGATGGAACCGGGAAGTACCATACAGAACCATACCAGACGGTAATTACCAACCCGAGCCAGGCCAGCCCCGGCCAGACCCTCTCTCTTGCCTCTTCCTTTTCCTTAACGCAGCCGATGCACCGCTCCACTTCCGGGCTTCTCTTGTTCCCTCCTGCTTGCCCCCCTTCTGCCTTTCCGATATCCTTTCCCTCCACTACTACGGGCTCATACTACTACTTACTCTTCCTAGTAAAGTCGGTAATCAATGCCTCTCTTTCTCCATAGAGCCTGGAGTAAAACTAACTAGTAGACTTCCTACTCGTCCACTCACACACACTCTCTCCCTCTCTCATCCAATTGATATATACTCTTATCCTTACCCTCTCGTCCCTCTCTTCTCCTTCTCCTTCTTTCCTTCCTTTCCTTTTACTTTCCCCCACACCGTCTTTGTTCTGCAAGCTGGTCTTTGCAGCTTCACTGACTACTACTACTACTATTATAATAACTACCATCACTATTACTACTATCCCAACGTTGTTTGTCGTTGTGGGTGGTTCAAGTCAACCTTCCCTTCCACTACTACCGTCTGGATCTGGATCTGCACCAGCCATACCCGGTTTCCCATTCCCCCCTCCCTTCTTCAACTTGCTGGTGGTTATTCTGCGTCATTGCCACGAAACCATTACCACCATCGTCACCTTGATTCTGATCAGTGAAAGCATGTATTGCAATAATGCTCTAATATGGTTGCTGGGATCTGTTAGACCATAACTTCCACGGATATGGATTTCATTGTAAGTGTGGCATTCTTTTCCTGTCTTCATCCCCCCCCATTGTCCTCGGTGTGTGTCTGTCTTTCGCATCGGTGAATGATGATGGCGATGTGTGAGCATGACGTGCACCTTCATGTCTCACCGGGGACATGCGTTTGGGCTTCTTTGCGCTGGATTAGGCCTTTTCTTCCTTCCTCGCACCGCGCAATGCGCGCATAATGACCGCGTGCGACATGGCAGGGATCCTGACTCTTGCGCTTGTCCTTTTCCCACCCCGTCTCTAGACAGTGGATCCCTGTCTGCTTGCTCCAGCTAACACTTCCTCCCTCTACTAGCTTTCTTTGACGCATTTCTGCGAGGTGCATGGTCCTACCTCGATCATCTGCTCGCAGGTCCTACCGTTCCCTTGTTCACAATGCTATCCCGACAAATCTGATTCCTCTCCCGACGAAACCCCTGCCACCTCTCACGACACCGTTTCATCCCACGGCCTGCAGAGCCGCGCGAATACTAAATCTACCCCAAATAAACTCTCGGAAAAGAACATCGACTCCTCCGACAGGTCTCCCAGGATAGAAGACCATCCCTATTTCCTCAAAGGCCAGGCCACGCCGGCTGACACTCAACAACGACCCAACTTCCTCGGCGGCGCAGACGGCGACACGTGCGCCAGTTGCAGCTTGACTCTCCCTGAAGATGTGAGCAAGCAGCTGCCCCCAGGTGCGCCAGGAACGGCCCGAAGTGACGGCAAAGGGAGGAACGGCAGTCCGGTTTTGCGATCGAGAGAGGTCGTCTACTCTTGTGGGACCAGTCACGCCGACCACGATGATACCACACACGACCCGCATGCTCATGCTTCATACCCCGACTCCCTTCATTCGGCCTCTGTTACATCGGACGCCTCCTGTCATACACACATCCTCACCTATCTTTCATTGCGCGGACCTCCCAATCCGGCTGATTACGCGCTTCTGCGACGTTCCTCCATTCGAACCCTGAGTTGCGAACTTTTGCCACGCGGTCTTTCCTCGGGCCCTCTATGTTTTGGCGATTCTACCGCTGGCTATACGATAGCTTACATCTTTCGCCTGCCCGACCCCATGGCTCGCGGGAAACGGCGTAGCTATGCCCTTGTCGCATTGGCAGGAAAAGATGCCGGACGAGCCTTCCGTGCCTGTCCTGTGATTTGGCGCGCATTTGGTCGGATTGCCACGGGCATTGTCAACTCAGCGGAGAAATACCAGGAAGAAGAAAAGCGTCGCGATGAACAAAACAACGCATCGAATAGACGCGGGAGCAAGCAGTATACACCTGTTTCCTCTTTCCTCACAGGGCGCGCCCTTGACCCAGATGGACAGCTTCGCAGACCCGGTCAAGTGCGAGCGAGAAACCTTTCGGAAATCGTGGGAAACCAATACATCTTTGCTGAAATACATGCACACTTTGTTGCGCTCCTGCAGCAGCTGGGTACGATGTTTGGAGCCTCACCTATTTCAGAAGAACGATTCGTGTGCAGCACAGTGCGCGAAGAAGACGCCACTGCTTCACGGAAATCATCATTAGTTCCTGGTGGCAAGGAGAAGCCGCAGGATAAGCTTTCGCGACAATACGAGGACAGCGATCTGGGAATGTCCACTTTGGACATCTCCTCGGGGCCTAAGCCGATCCCCATCGCACCTCGCCGACCAGTGATCGCTTAGCTTGTGCCACATTTGCGCTACGGCATATCTTAATTGGCTATATTATCACCTTCGGGCCAATTACATTACTTGTTCAATCTCTTGAAAGCGGAGCATTTCAACCGTTATCCGCGATTCGACTAGCATCACTGCATGCAGTCAGCGGTCTCATGTGACAATTCCCATCCTCACATGATTGACATCATTTCGGCGTTTACTTCCGGTACATGGACAGGACTTGACATAGACTACGGCATGTTTTTTTATTTCCAGAAGGAGGCGGAGTTTCGGCACATTTACAGGACGCATGGCTTTTGATTTGTATTCCCTTTCTATTCCCCCAAAGCGTGGGTAGATGAGCGATCTGAGTTTTGTTCTATTCCACCTCACCCTTTCGATTCTTCCCGATCCGATTCGGACTGTTTTATTACGACTTCTACATTCTATTAATCACCAGAAGCGGACGGCCATGACGGACGCTTGTTTTCATGATTGAATGTCATTACGAGGCAACGAAGGATGCACTTGTGAGGCATTTGGCATGACATGCATGTATGTACTTTTACGGAAAGGGACTTTATTGGAGCTTAAATCAAGGCCTGTAACTTGAGCCATTATTGCCAGTAATCCGTAGTTAGTTCTAGTGTTCTAGACTTGACCGATAAGATAAACCACTGGTCCACTCACCAAAGTCCTACTGTAGAAGCAGCCAAATCCAAAGACAGACTAAAACACTAGCTCGAAGTCTAAGCTCGAAGTAATAAAAGCTTCCACTTAACTAACTAATAAGCAACTAACTCAGATACTTCCTATCTCCTATCTATTATCTAACCATCTCCAGTAAATCAAATCCACAATAACTCAAGCCTTATCAACCCAAACCTTAACTAGACGTTGACTACGATACCATTCATGTGAGTGGTTTGGGGGTGTATAAACAGACGAATGGAAATATGTATGACGCCATCTCCTACTCCACTTCACAGCTTATCTACTATCCTTGAAAGATAGAGAATAAGCAAAGCAACTCCATAAATGAAAATGACATGCATGGGCTTAAAGTATCTCTGTGGACATGTACAGTAAGCAATGCATGTCACACACATACATACATACACATCTATCCACTTATCTATTAACGTTAAGTAAATGGATCCCTAAATGGATCTGAATAGGAGTTCTTTACTTGGTTTGGATATAAGGTGGTGTGTGTATATGTGTGTTACTTATGAATCATCACAAAGTAATATTGGTAGTCGTAGTCTGCGTATTACTCTTGTGACGGGGGAGGTACTTTGGGAATTAGTAGTAGTTTATGTAAGGATGTATAATATAACATTAATATATTATAATTATATCATACTATGTGACATGGAATATAAAGAAGGTCCACCTTGAATCATAATTAGTTACTTAAAATAAAGCATTATGCATCCCCCCCCCTCCCCTCTCGAGTCATGTATGACTGATCGACAGGGGAGAGCCGCTGTAATATGTATAGAATCTTGAGTCAGATTGCTTTTGCAGTTATTCGAGATTTAGAGCAACCTGTAGGGGATAACTACTTAATAAGAGGATCTCGTATTCCAGATAAGTACTACGGGGGAATCGTCTTATAGTTCAAAGCAAAAGAAACAGGCTATCAACTAGGTATTAATTACTAGTTTATTTTCTAAATCTATTCTACTCCTGCATTTTAAAAAAAATCCAACTCAATCTCATTCTTTCAACAACTCCCTCTCCCCCTTGTTCAATACAGTTCATCTCCATCAGGTACAATCTCATGCTCGCAGTCACTATAGAATGCAGCCCACTGGATAGTCGAAGAACTGGCCGAGCTCCAGTCAAAATCGCGATCTTGCTTATTGTGTCGCACATAGGGATCCCCTCCAGTGAAGTGGGAAGGCAGACACACGACCAGTGAGCCGATTTGGTTCGCAGTGCGAGGCCTACCGATGTGTTTTCGGAAGAAGCCATCGGGGCAGGAGTAGACCTGTACGTATGGTTAGTAAGTGGACTCTTACCCTTTCCACCATCTATCACTACTTGAGGAGCGAAAATCGAAGGCAGACCAACGATCAGCATGTGCAAATCAACAAACAATTCCCTGATAGCACCAGCCGTAAAGGATAGAAGCAGCTGTGTCTCAATCTTATCAAGAATCCCAAATTCGGCGGGCGGAATGGAAAGTAGTGGCGAAGTGAGCAGGTTTTAGCGTCCCGGCTTTGCAATGTGTAGGATCAAGAACGCCCTTTCTATCTTTGTTAAAGATAACAGGGGCACAGTCACTGGCAAGTTGCTGCAGAGCTCCTGCACCAGAAGAGTCCTTGTCATCTTTTCTGCCGACAGGAAGAACCAGCTTTGCGGCAGCGAGTCCCTCGAAGTCCAGAAGATCCTGACAGGCTGGGACTTGGTAGGGACGTGACCACAGTCTTTATACAAGCTTCACTACCTAGTCTACACGCTTTCATTGCTTTCTGAGCCCTGATGCCAAGATGCGCTAATCCATGATTAGAACACAGGCTGAAGAACCATGTTCCTATACATTACAATTCAAGCATCTGATGCAGCAATACCATGGGTTCGATATAGCCTTGTATTACTGTGGTATGTAGCTGTCGCTTTGGTAAGAAGCATCACCCGCTCTTTGACAATTTGTGAACAAGATGAACCCACTGCTTAACGACCTGGCGTAACCCCCAGATTGGAACCAACGTTTTGTCGGGAGACGAAGCAATTTCATGTCTCAACAGATACAGTATGAGATAAAATACCCCAAAGCCAAAGCCGTACATCAATACAAATGTTCGATTTAACTCCGGTCATAGCGCCAGATCAGTCTTTTCGCTTTCTCTTGATTGCCTCTGTGGCATCGTCTCATATGGTTTTCCATATCTTCTTTGAGGTTGTAGTGATTGAAACACCCGGGTGCTGCGCAGCGATATTCAACTGCAAGAGCAAACCTTTCCCATGCATCTTGTTGCTTCAGTCTCTGGCGTCGATGTTTTACGAGAGACTTTGCACACTCTTGGAGGTCATGTTTCACATCCTCTCTTGCGAGATATGTATTAGCAAGTGTTCTCATCTTCGTCATAGTGCCTTCGTCATATTGGTCCAACTTTATATTTCCCCACTCATGCGAATCGCCGTTAAACCGCCAGTATATTCCGTTAACCCCTAAAGTTCGACTCATATTCTTGTGTACGGCCTCAGGGTTGTCAAATTTGAACCCCGCCTTGATCACTGCTAAGGTGTCAAGCCAAACCCCCCGGGGGGCTCGTCCGGGCCCGAAATTCTTTGGCGGACGCTGCAATCCAGTCCCAATACTAACGATAGTATTGAAACATTGAGCATACGTTTCAGATGGGGGACCCCAGCGTAGGACCTCATCAACGCCCTCTTGAGTTGGGTTTTGAAGACCAAGCCAGCATCTTTGAAGCGCCAAATGTTACCATTAAGCGCCTCGATCTCTTTGGGAATAAAATAAGTCGGTGCTGCAGTGCAAGCCCGTGCGACCCACCACAATGGGCCCGTGAAAGCTGTTCCGAGATTTGGATCTCCAGAATTGGTTTCCTCTGGGGTATCATATGTCTGGAAACGATAATTCACCTCATTCATTTCTTCGTTTTCGTTTGTTTTGATGGGTGACCACTGAGAATCGTAGACCTTTCCAAGAGCTGTCACAACACTTTCTCGACAGTTAGAAGCAGACATTATGGATTGAGGATATCAGGTAAGCGCACGTGCTACAGACCCCATAGTCTGTTTTATTGAAAGACGCATTTGGAAATCCATATGGTCCCTCTTGGATGGAATCGTGATGTTGAATAATATCTTTAACAGCCTTGACCAGCCCTTCGTGATTGTATTTGATTATGGCCAATGGACGAAAGCTCAAATAAGGGAAACTCCGAGGCGAGCCAAATACTTGTTGACCAAGTAACTGATATTGCTGCCTAGCATGAGTCACCGTCATACGAAGCCTCCCCAGCATCATAGCGATTAGTCTAGTGGGATCCAAATCAGTATGTGCCATAAAACGGGGAATCCATATTTTGTGACTTACCCACCTGTACTCGTACCGATGATGCAGTCAAAATAATGACAGGGCAGGAACTTGTTAACCTCTTCATTCATTGCCGACCCTTCAATCCCCGCTGGACAATCATGTGGATGGAAGCTAGATTCAGCGGGATCGCAATTAGCGTCAGGCACATCTTTAAGTAGATCAGCTAGACATTTTGCATCCCCCTCAATATCCCTAACGTATCTCATTAGCCTCTCGAGTATGAGCATGCTTCCGTACCCACGCATTCCACCCCCATCTATTTCTGTATTAGTGATTGACTTGGCCATGTAATGCTTCATTCTACTTACCAAAGCTCAGCAGATTATATTTGACCCGGGGCGAGCTTTGCATTGTGAATTCGTACAAGTGCTATAAGCTCCACAGCATGCGAAGAAGTAGTCAATATGTACTTGGCGGACCATGTTTTGCTTGTTTTCCTTCCTTTGGTCTCTTTTATATGTATGTCTCTAGCCATCCAAAAGCACCTGTGTTCAAGGTGACGACATTGAACCCAGCAGCCTCAAATTGAAACATCCAGTTCCAACAATGACAATGGTGATCGAACCATATTTCAAGATCTATGTTCCCATGACTGCTGCTTAGCTAGTTGACCATAATGTGGTCTTTCGTGTCAGTGTCTGGACCTGCTAAAGGCACATCATTTCTTCGTGGATCCCCATCATAGGAACCATCTATACGTTGCAGCTAGTCTACAATTGGTCTGAGTGCTAGTAGTTGACTTCGACTCCAGCGGTGTAGTAGGTGTAATGGGAGGAAAGGATTCCCTATCTGAAGCTTGTTTCTTAAGGTAATCTGTTTATAAATCTTGGGTATATAGACGGTGGCTTTATTCGACAACTCTAGACCCGTAACTGTCGCAACTACATAACCGTAAAGGGTTGAACACGAACTTCCTCCCAATCATAGCCGAACTTACCCCACTAAGGACGAAGGCATGGCAAAGCTTAGTTAAACTTTATATCATTGAAGCTTTTAATGGGTTTTGCTTTAGCTAACCCACTTCTGAAAAGGTTTCATGCACTGGGGTACTCTAGATTGATCTAAGTCTATTCTGTAGTATGGTACTCAATGCGGGCAATTTAGACAGTTCGACCGATAATTCGGCCCATGCCTTTCCATGTGCGTGAAATGAGTGAGGTCAAGAGTGCTGCTTAAGTGCGAGAACATATACCTAATGGCTTAGGGCTACCTTGCGTGATATTTAGGTGTCCCGGTTCTCAAAAGGTGCTGCGGATGGAATCCGATGTAAAGGACCGTATAGATCTAGATTACGCTCTCCTTGCTTTGATTTAAGGTTCTGCGGTATTGGTTTCACGATATTTAAAGTTGAATTTCACATAATTAGTGAAATTTACTTTCGCAAAGTGGACTTGAAATCCGTTTGAACCTTACACACGAAGCAGCCCCCAATGGCCCTATAAAGCTCCCTTTCATAATGCCCTATGTTTGAATCTGGCTGATGTTGGCGTCGGCGCCAGTGCCTTGAGATTCATTTTATCTAAATATTCCTGGTACTTGTACGACCATGACATCGCTTGGAAATGTCCAGATGCAATCAATGTATATTCTAGACTATCTATATGACGTCATGTATTGATATAAGAGACGAAAAAGTGATCACATGGCTCGCTAGAATTGGGTACGTGGCTTCTCCCTGAAGAACGAACGACCTCGATATGGATCACAGGAAAGTCTAAGCAACCCAATAATTAAAGCATGGGGATAGGCTGCGTAACAGAGAAACATGTAAGTCACAGGGCATGAATCTACCCTAATTTATTCACTACACGTTACCGGATCTTGGCCCATAGTGCTTCCGAGCCCTTTAAAAGGGGAATAGCGGACACTGGTGTTAGTGTTTGGGAGATTATGAAAGAGTATAGGTGGCGAAGCTGTTTCTCGGACAGTCTGCAAGAGGTATTTGTAGTGATTGGAATGGAGCTAGCACACGAGAAGGATGAAAAACTGCCTTTGATCGATTCTCCGACTGAGGAGTAGTTGTCTTCCACTGCAGGTTTATCTTCTCCCTTCCAAAGCTGAGATGTCTTACTTTCAAAGTTGGGGAGGGGCAAGCCTTCTACCGGAGTCAGTTCTGGTGGCATCTTGGAATTTGAAGAGCTCTTTTTTTGTAGGTTGGTGTTACCTTAAGACTGTAGCACTGAGCAAGAGCGTTGAGAATCAAGACATCGAGATTGATTTTGCAGCTACCAAGTACTACGGGACAATGATGAAAAATTCAATCACAAATTTCATATCCACCACTATAACGAGGTCAAATTAGAACAAATGATTCAATATATGTATTCTGTGCTTCATTTACCACAGACAAAAAGGAACTTCATCCAATTCATACAAGAAGTCAGAAAACAATAGTCAACACCGTATCTCAAAACTTCACCCCGCGTATAAACAGGTATGGAAGGAGTCCATAGATTCTCCTTCAGCCAGTGACAGATATCCAGTCCCACACCGCGCCTCCTTTCCGGAAAACCCATACAATAAAAGAAGTCATAACATGCATACGTGCAGATCAAATCATTCATCGCCCCGTAATGTAGTCCTTGTTTTCGATCGTCACACTCTTGGTCATGTGGTTGACCTTGTAAACACCGACCAGTCGAGAGGCAAGTTCAAACTATTGATGATTAGTCACGCGCTGCTGTAGCATGCATCTATGGCGAGTGGCTTACCATGTTGTTTCTCAAAGAAATAACAATGAATTGAGCATTCTTGGTTCTCTCCTTGATATAGGATGCCACAATCGAAACCTAAGCAGGTTAGCAACGCACTTTTATAGTATTTGGGATAGAGCACTCACGTTGCGGAAGTCCAGGGCAGCATCAATTTCGTCCATCACGTACAAGGGAGTCGGCTTGTAGTGATGCAAGGCGAACACCAGCGCCAAACTGGAAAGAGTCTTCTCACCACCGGACAGATTTCCAATGTTCTTCCAGCTCTTCTTCGGAGGCATGACGGAGAACAAGATACCCTCAGAGAACGGATCCAGAGAGTCAACCAATTCCAGCTCGGCGTTACCTCCCATCGTGATCATCTGGTACATCTCCTTCAAACGAAGCGAGATAATGCCGAATCCTTCCATGAACCCGTTCAGACGAGCAGATCGGAGGCCATCAAGACGAGCCTTGGCACTATCACGCGACGCCAGGGCAGTGGTCAGATCGGCCGAACGTGCTTCGTGTTCAGCCGTTCTGCGCCTGTACTCCTCGATGACACTAAGGTCGACAGATGCATTCTGACTCTTCTCCTCAAGGGCGGCAATGGCTGCCTTCAACGACTCCTTGTTCATCGCCATCAACTCGTCTTGAGTGAACATCTGGAGCTCGGTGGCTTCCTGCTCTTCACCCAGATCGCTGACGTTCTGCAACGAAAGCTTGGACAACTTCTCCTGCCAGTACCGCCCGCGCTTTTCGTTCTCGGACAAGGCTTTCTGGTTCTCCTCAAGCTTATTGCGCATCTCGATCTCGGTGGCTCGGGACTCGTTCAATTCAGCCACCTTTTCATCCAACTCACCCTTCACTTTGCTGAGCTCCTCTTTCTTCTCCTCGAGAGCCTGTCATGGTGTAAGCCTACAGATTTGATGCACTTTATTTTAAACTTCTTACCTCTTCCGCTTCCTCCACCTTCTGCTTCCACCCTGATGCATCGTTGGCCTGGTTGGCAACATCCGCATTGAGCTTCTCGAGCTCCTCTGTTACATGCTCAAGCTCCTTCTCTGCGTCAGCACGGGCATTCTGGTGCTTGACGATGGCCTTCTCATTCTTTGACTTTCCAACTTCTGCATTGGAAATCTCCTCTGCAAGAAGGCTGATCTGCTCCTTGAGACCGTCGACCTTGGCCTTCTGACCACGTAGTCTAACACCACCAACCTCCATAATCTTATTCTGGAGAGTCTGGATCTCTTCCTCGATACCACCCTTCTGTTCACGAAGGTCTTCAATTTCTTCCTCCAGAGCTGCGATCTGTTTCTCCAGAGCTGCGGCTTGACTCGCGTCCGTCTTTGATGGCTTGTGCTCGGCGCTTAATTCCTTGACTCGCCGCTGGGCGTCTGCGAGACTTCTGTTGGCACTTTCAATCTCGATCATGATCTTCTGGATCTTGGTCTCCGCTCGTGGTATCTCCTCGGATCTCTCTCTGATCGCTGCCTCCATTTGCCTTTGCTTGTCCAAGAAGCGCTGGAATTTCCTCTCCATTTCTTCCAAATCACCCTCGAGCTGAGCAACTTGCTCTCTGCTTGTCTCTGCCACTTGCTTGGAGGACATACCACCACGTGCTACGCGGGTACCACCACCACTCATAGTACCAGACATGTCGATGAGTTGACCGTCAAGGGTCACGACCCTCCACCGTCTGGCTCCATAGGCAATGCGGTTGGCTTGCTCAAGGTCTTTAGCAACCAAGGTGTTCTGCATGACACTGTAGAATGCGGGGGCAAATTTGGGGTCTTTGGGCTTAACCAAGTCAAAGAGTCGAGGGACCTTCTCCGGAGTTGCGATGGAGGATAGATCCCGCCGGGGGAGTCGATCCAGAAGAATGAAGTTGGCTCGGCCGAGATTGTTCTTGCGCAGGTAGTCGATACACTGTTGACCGACCTCAACCGTATCAACCACCATGTTGTCCAGCGCCGGACAGGCAGTCGAGATAGCGACATCATATTTCTCGTCGATAGTTCCGAGGTTGCCGAGCCGGCCGTGGAAGCCTTCGATACGGCCCGACTCCTTGAGACGCATAAGTCCAGACAGAACACTACCGCGATTTTGAGTGCTTGCAAGACTGGCCCTTGCCTCATCTGCCTTCTGTCGAGCACTCGAGACATGGGCCCGCACTTCAGGTTCTCTGTGGGCATACTTCTTAAGGTCATGCTTGAGCTTCTCGACCTCCTCTTCAAGTGTCGACTTCTGCTCTTTGCGTTCCTCAAGCTCGGTCTCCTTGGTGGCCAAACCCTCTTCAATCGAAGCCACCTTGGCCTGAGCCTCTTCCAACAGGACAGCACCCGCGTTGCTTCTCTCACGGATGATGTCAAGTTGACTCTGAGCCACAGCGACAGCCGAGAGCTTCTTGTTAATCTTCTCATCCCACGGCTCCAATGACTTTTGCTTTGCCGTAATTTGGTCCGAAAGACCCTGGGTTTTGCCTTTGAGGCTCTCACGGATCGAGTTCAGTTCTTCCTCCTCCACCTTCATCTCTTTCTCAAGCTGTGTAGTCTCTTTCGATTTCCTTTCAATGTCGTCCGCATGCTTTTGCACCAGACTCTCACACTCAGAGGCAGCCAGTCGAGTACTCTGCATGGCCTTCTCCAGCTTCTTCTGCTTTCCAACCAAGAACTTTTTCTTCTCTTCAAATTTGACAGATTCCTTGTCGTACTTGGCCATCTCCTTGGCCAAGGCTTGCATTTCCTTTTCCATGCTCTCATATTCCCGCATGCCACGCTTGTACGCCTTCTCGAGCTCTTTGATACCGGATTCGTTGCCTTCGTGCTTCTCTAGCTCGAGGTTCAAAAGCTCTTGCATCTGCAGGATAGCTTCCTCGGTAACTCGGATGTTATCACCGCACTCATTGATGTAGATCTGGTAGAGTGCGGACTGTTTTTGAGCCAGCTCATTCTCGTCACGGATGAAGGAGAGTGCCTTGTCCTTTTTCTCTTCCAAAGCGTTCTTCTCCTTTTCTACATGCTGTACACGATTGTTCTTCTCCATACAGACGTCGTTCAGCGTCTCCAGCTCAGCGGCTGCTTCGTCGATGGGCGTCTTGTATTTGGAGGTTCCGATGATATCCTCGAGGTACTCCAGGAGACCATCTTCGTGTTCATTGGCAGCCTTGGCCTTCATCTGTGCGATAGACTCGACTTCACCTTGGAGAATCAGGAAACGCTTATGGTCCAGGTCAATGCCGCGGTCGCGGAGCAGGGTGGTCACGGTGGTAAAGTTCGTCTCCTTGCCGTTCATGTAGTATTTGCTGCTGTTATTTTTGAAAGCCTTTCGGGAGATAATCAGTTGGGAATCTGGGACTACTTCATGCCCTCCAGTGGGCAAGTCAAGGACTTCCTGGAAGTGAACTTCGACTTCACAGTAGGGCAAGTTGGGAAAGTTGGCGGAGTTATGAATGAGAGCGGAAACCTTGCCCTGTCGCATCTTGCTAGCTCGGAAACCGAAGACAAAGAGCAACGCATCGATGACATTGGACTTTCCGGATCCGTTTGGTCCGACCACCGAGGAGAAAGAGGCATGGAAGGGCCCGACGATCTGCTTCCCTGCGTAACTCTTGAAATTCATCAAAATTAGTGTAGTGATAATCAAGCGGCTCTTGGGTTCGGATGGCTCCTCGGGCGCTGAGGGGCCCAGTAAGCGAGACTTCATCATGATATCCATCGGCTTTTCGAGAACGGTCGAATTGGGGTTGATCATAGCAATTTGAGGCTTTTCCTCGCTTTCGGACTTTGCGGGCGTCTGGTTCACAGCCGACTCAGTGATATCAGCGAGTGGGGGCACACTGCCTCTCTGCGATCGGGGTTGGGACGGGGGCGGCGACACGGAGGGCTCTGGAGTTGGGAGTAAGGACATTTCCGGGTTGGGCGTGCGGGAGACATGATTCTTGCGGGGGTGAGCCATACTGGTTATTTTATTTACTGACGCTGTCACCTGTGAGGCAGCCTCGGGCTCTTCCACCGACGCGACGCTCTCGCCTTCATTGTCGTTTGTATCTGTGAGTTGCGACGCCTCGGACAGTTCTGCGGTTGCCGACCTGCGAGATCTCCGTGTAGTGCGCGTGGGCTTGGGTGTAGTCTGCTCGATTGTGGCTCGTCTGCGCGAGGACCTCTTTTCAATTCTGGGTTTCTTGGGAACAGGCGTGGCCTCGCCGCTATCGTCGTCGTCTTCGTCGTGCTGAGATGCCGTGGGGGTGACATTTCCGGGATCCTCCTCTTCGGAAGTTTCTTCCATAACATAGCTCCGCCGGGCGGCAGCAGAGCGCCTCGTTGGGCGGCTTCTTGCGATGGATGACATTATTTTGGATGAGTCGTCGTCGTCGCCAGAGACGGCTTCATCAAGGCGAACGTTGAAGCGGGCGCAGTTGCAAAGTTGCGGGCGGAACTGGAAAGTGGGTTGTTTACATTGTGTCCCCATCGGGCATGGCGTTGTTTTTCTGCCACAACATGTGCGTCTTTGGACTGTCTGCTTCACCGCCCACCTGCGACGGCTGCCCATACAATTCGTCACGAGTAAATAACCAATGCTGCATCGGAATTGTTCTGCGGACATATCCTAGACAAAATGGCGCCCTGGGACGATTTCGATTCTATCTTTTACTTTAACAAAAACTTCACCTACGATGACAAGGTTATCGAGCAGATCGTCGCCAACCGCCGTGCACTCGAAAACCAGCTGTTCGCCGACCGACTGCTAGGATTGCTCGGAGTTAAAGCAGGTATTCTCTCCCCCCATCCAGCCCTGAAGCGAAGGTCGTTGTTAATCAGGAGAAACCTGTAGTTACGCAACTATACCCTCCCAGATCCAATGCCGACCTCCGGACTCTTGTCGGACACATTCTTTCCTCCCCCATGGACATAGAGCACAAGCAAGCGTTGATCTACTATATCCTGAAAGATTGCCGTGCCGCCAGCGATGCGGCTTCTCAGTTTTCGCGGCGGTGTCATTTGCCGGAGAAGTACAGATTGTTCATAGAAGGACTATGGAACCTCGATAGGCTTGAATTTAAGGTGCGTATCTGCCTTTTATGCAGTTTGCGACGGTTACTGACCCAGAATGCGCCGATAGCGAGCCGTCGAATATCTGACTGAGCCTTCTATCATTCCCACCTTCCCGGATGAAATCCTCTATGTCCTTACTCTTCCTCGGCTTCCCAAGCACGATGACAGCCTCGTAATGGCATACTACCTTACTGTTTCCCCACCTTTGGCATCGGAGAAGGTCCAGCGAGCCTTCTTCAAGACTCTCTGTCGCGCAAGCATTACGGAGGCCTTCTACTTCACCCGCAAGAACGACGACAATCTACGTCGGAGCTATCTTACACAGCTCATCGAGTTCGTGCACACAACGGACGCTGGTCAGCTTCGGAGCAGTCGCGCGCTGGAACTAATCGGCCTTCCATTTGACGACCAAGAAGAGGAATGGTTCGAGGATGCTCTGCTCCACGGAAGCGCAAAGGGTCTCCATGGCTCCAAGGACACAGTCATGATGCGCCGCCTTGCCAGTGGCAAGTTGAGCGGACTGGCCCAGGAGCTTGAGTCCCTCGGCGGGGAGAAGATTGACGGGCTAAACTGGGATGTCCTGAGACAGAGCGTTACACATACGCAGACCTCACAGTCCAGCGGAGGGCAAGCTTGACATGAACTTGATATTATGGGAAATGGCTCGGAGAATAGGAGTTGCGCATCGGATCCATTGTAATTTTACGAAGCATTGGCATTAAACAGGCGACGGTTGCTTTTGATGATTTACTACAAGGCCGAAAATATAGCCACCAGTATACCCCCATCTAGTTTCTATATTGGTATCATTTGCAACCTGCATAAGTGTAAAAGAGTAAATGGAACGTTGCAGACAAACAGGATCTCCGCTCCTGATAGCTCCGCGGGCATAAACCTGCGTAAATTACAATACCAAGCGCATACGCTATGCATGAACTGCCTGCTAACACTGCGGCCTGAGGCGGCGAAATGTACTGTCACCGGATCAATCTAACCACCACCGGCCCTCCGCAGATTCTCTCGAGTTATACACCGCGACCAGCTGCGCGCGCTTCGGTTTCTGATATTACTTAAAAGTCTACTTATTCCTCACATAATTCTCTAACAATTGATCAAAAATATAGCTCCAATTCGTGGGTGTCCCACACTCGATTGAGCTCTTATCATCACAGTCAGACGGTCAGCAGGGGCCTCTCGTACTGTCCGACGCCGCAAAGGCTCAATACGACATGGTTGTCTGCACGTACTTCCAGCAGGGGCGGTGCAGATTTGGAGGTACGAAGACATATTGCTCCCCCAGATTCTAGTTTTATTCTTTCTCTAGTCTAAATAGTGGACTAACTATCATTCCAGACCGTTGCAAGAATGAGCACCCTAGCCAGCAGACATTGAGCTCCGGCAACCGTTTTGGAGCACTTGCTGGGGGAGGTTTCGGAGGTACGTTTAGTGCTTGTTGTTGGAGACAACACAACGCAGCATGCTCTCTTTTTGCATGAGCTATTATGTGTGCCAATGCTCATGATCACTTTGGATCCTATTGTCATTTTTGTTTGTTTTCTTCATGCCCTGTCACCGCTTATACATGTGTTGCTTGTTCCACGTTTTGTTGTCTCTACCATAGGCTGCATTGAGATGTTCTAACTCCAAACATAGGCCGTGGCGCTCAGACTCAGCAATCTGCAGAGTAAGTTGTTCTTCAGCCATGCTAATTACATGAGACCTTTCTGACACCCCACAGCTATGGAATAACTACGACGGACATCAAGGCCGATCTTACCGCCGGTAAAGGCCGGCCAGAATGGATTTTCTCCTGCTACGGTCCTGGAAGAAACGCCCCAAGGCAACTGTTTGGAGGCACTAGCCGAGAGCGGAGTTTTGAAGAACTGCGACTGCGCCATTATGAAGCTGCCGCCGCAGGTAACGCTGACCAGGCAGTCCAAGAAGCTCAAGCTCTATATGCGGAGGCCTTGAAGCAGATGGATGTCATCCTGAATGACCTCAATGGCGCTGTAAAGTATGTCGTCGACGGAATCAATGAACATCCCAACAGGATTGACATCGTGGAGGGCAAGACCGGCCCAACTTCCACCCAAGCGCCTTCTGCTTTCGGTCAGCCCTCGCAACCTAGCCAACCTTCACCATTCGGGCAACCCGCTGCTCCCAGCTCAGCACCGGCTTTTGGTCAGCCTTCAGGGCTAGGTAGTCAACCCTTCGGCAAACCCTCTGCGTTCGGTCAGCCGTCAGCCTTCGGGCAGCCCTCGGCCTTGGGGCAAACATCTGGTTTGGGGCAAGCATCTGGCTTTGGACAACCTAGTGCTTTAGGTCAAGGGTCTGCATTTGGACAGCCGTCAGGCTTAGGAGGGCAGCCGGCATTCGGTAAACCAGCCTTTGGCCAACCTAGCTTTGGTCAGCCTTCTACCGGCCAGTCTTCATTTGGCCAACCCTCGTCTCTTGGGACATCAGCATTCGGGACACCTGGTGCGGCCTCCCCATTTAGTCAGATATCAGCACCTAGCCAGCAACCAAGCGGCTTTGGCCAGTCCGCTGGACAAGCTTCACCGTTCGCGCAGGTCGGGAGTCAAACCCCCGCCGCGTCTTCTGGCTTCGGTCAACCCTCGACAACACAGCCGGTTGGTTTCGGCCAACCATCACAGACAGCTTCCCCTTTTGGTCAACCTCAACAGCAACAGCAGCAGCAACCGCCTTCAAACCCTTTTGGTCAACCATCCACGGCCCCAGCCCCGAGTCCCTTTGGAGCTCCAAGCCAACCAGCTGCACCTTCAGGATTTGGACAGCCAGCTAGCGGGTTCGGACAGTTGGGCCAGTCGGCGCCTGCCCCTGCTCTTGCATCCACACCAACAGCTACCGCAGGAACCGGCCCTCCTGCCATCATTAAGATAGACAACCCCAATGAGCTGCACCCCATCCCACCGCTGACGGGTCAGACCATCCGCGACCCTATGACCAAGAGGCTTTCAGCTTGGAAGGGACAACCGGTCAAGTACATCAACAACGAACCCTGCTATCTACATCCGCAGGATCGTCAGACCTACGTCCGCATCTTCTTTCCAGATGGGCCGCCTGACGCAGCCAGCTTAAGGGATGCGCATGGAAAGGACGAGGAGTATACGGTTGAGGTCACCGAGCAGTACGAGTTCTTTGTGAAAAACGGATGCTTCAAGGACGGAGTGATTCCGAGCGTGCCCCCGAAGACAGAATGGGTGAGCTTCGACTTTTAGCCGATTCAAGCTCTTGGACAGGACTTTCTTTTGCATGGTTTACTTGGGCATTGTATTATATAGATGATTAGCATTATTCACGGACGGGAAGGGCGTCCAGGCGGGATATTCTCACACGGAACAAACGGAAGCAGTTCAACCACTGCTAGTATTTGATACCAATACACTACACACACTACGCTACACCACAACTACAATCCATCCATTCATCCAATTCAATAGGAGTGATAGTTTTACTGCTTTTTGAACTTTTTCATTTTCAAGCCAGGAACTGGCGGGTATCGACGAATGCCTAGCACGCACCCTGCATCCGCAGCAGCACCACAAAACATATCCTCATCGTCCGCGCCACCCCTGTCACGAACCCAAACCATCAGAGAAGGTAGGGGTACATTTAAGCAGCAATGGTGACCTCAACCTCAACACCAGCCTCGATGTTGATGATGATCTGCTTGACAGTCTCGGTGGGGGCGAGGAGGCTGAACACAGATATTAGCTTTCCATCCTTTCCCTTCCAACATCTTCAAAGGAGGAGGTGGGGGGTGCTTACTCGATGAGACGCTTGTGGATGCGCATCTCGTACTTGTCCCAGGTCTTGGAACCCTCACCGTTGGGGGTCTTACGGGTCGAGATGTGAAGGGTCTTGGTGGGAAGACGGACGGGACCCTTGACCTGGAGGGACTTGGAGCGAGCACGGTCGATCAGCTCCGAGCACACCTTCTCAAGGGAGGCGACCTTGCGAGAGGTGAGGGTGATACGGATCTTGTGGACCTTCTATAATAGCAGGAATTGCTTGTTAGTACTGTCGCAATTGAATATATATAAAATACCATGTCCATATCCATCGCATTGAGACATGTATATATATGATGATGATAATAATAATGGTATGGTGGTAGACGTACAGGGCCCTCGCCGAAATCCTTCTCAGGCTTCTGGAAAGACATCTTGAATTGTAGTTGAGACGGTGGGGTGACCGGTGGGATTTGAGATGCTGGATGGACCTGAAGGTTAGTTGTCGTCGACGAAAAGACAAAGAAAGAAAAGGAGAGGAAGGAGAGGCGTACCGCAAGGGAGGCTGGACTGCCAATCAAGACCTGAACTATCGGGGTTCGGTAAGGTGATGATGGCCGTTGAGAGAGTCTGGATGGATTGCCGGGCGGAATAACAATTATCGTGAACTTCTCTCTTTTTTTTGTTCAATTTTTATTAATCCGCTCTTCTTGCTTGTGCGGGTGGAGGGCTTGGCGCTCGCCTAAGTAGCTGGTTCGGGAGCTAGTGGCTGGATGTGGTTAGATGAGTTTGGGTTTGGGAGGTGGGCGGTGAGTCAGCGGGATTGGGGGGAATCGGTTTGGATGGTTGAACTATTTAGGAACTATACTTGAATATTCCGTGGATGGATGGGTATGGTATTAAGGAAGGGAGGGTGGTGGTAATGTCTAATTGGGGTATTAGGTATCGAATTGAGATTTTATCTCTTTTGTGTAGAGTATTGTATTTGATGCTTCCTTCATGTTCATTTTAGTATCATGTATAGAAGGTTATTGGAACTTTTAGTTAAGGGAAAGAGAATAGCTAGTCAGATTATACTACTTAGCCACAGCGACAAGAAAAGGAGGTGGCTAGGAGGAAGAAGAGGACTATGGGCACATTAGTATACTAGTATGGATTCGACATGTGGTATGTGTTTAATTCACTGATATGATAGCATACCGTATTGGTGATTGCATGAATGTGATAACTTATGGTCCTGTATGGCTTTAAGATACCAGCGGTAAGTATAAGACGTGGAAGGTAGTATCTTATACTGATATTCATGTAATTTATAATGCATTCTATAAACCGATAAAATCACAAACCGGGCATTATCTCATTAAGCACTGCGAGGCAGTCAAAAGGCGCCAGCCATATCCGGACAACCACAGATAGACTATTAGTGCTGTGGGGTAGGGGTGGGGTGGCGTAGCGTAGCGTAGAGTGGGACTATTTACAACAATGATCGGGGGATAGTACATGTTTGATAAAGTGACAGAAGAGATGCATCTAGCTTGGTCACTGACTCGCATAGACAGTCTTCAATGGCTTCAATGATGATCCGAGAACACACCATTCTCCGCGCATGACTTCCTGCACTCTTCAAGAATGCGAACCTGCTTTGCGACATCGCCGAGTTTGCCAATCACCTCTTTGTTACCATCGTAGAAGGTGAAGATGGTATAAGGGATGCCAGTGTCGCGGCAAAAGTCGAGCACCAGGCGCTGAGTCCGACGCAGATTGTGCCGAGGAATACGGGGGTAGAGATGATGGATGGCTTGGAATTGCAGACCGCCGTGGAAGAAGTCGAGCCAGGTCGGGCAGTCGACATCCATGGTGGTGCGGAGCATTCGTTGTGGGAAAGACTCGTTGACTCCCATGTCGGAGGTGGACATGGCGAAGTGAGAAAGTGTGATCTGCACGTGCAGCGGAGAGGTAACCATATGGGAGATGAAAAGGAAGGAAAGCCGGCTGCTCCAGTCGGGGATCGACCGGTACATCACTCCATAGCCAAACCAGATCCAGAAAAAGACCTGGCCGCCAATCTCAAACCACCGATGCCACCAGGCGGGACCTTTTTTCGGGGCTTGGCCCATGAAGAGGTACTCCCAGCTCAGGCGATACAAGTTGAAACGTCCAAACAGGAGGATAGGGTAGTAGAGGTAGTTCTGGAAGCGGAGAAGGAAGTTTGCAGCAGCATCAAATTCCATGATGCGGTCGTAGTAGGTGCTGCGAAGGCTGGTAAGGAAGCGATGGGAAACGGCGAAGAATGGCATGTGTTCGATATCCGGGTCGTGTTCGGGGGCGTTTGTCACGATATGGTGGACATTGTGGCTGCGTTTCCACCACCCAAGGCTGAGTCCTCCAAGGTAGTCGGCGATAATGATACCAATCACCGTGTCGACGTGAAAATTGTGCGTAATGCCCATATGGCCAGCATCATGGGCAGTAAAGACAAGCTGATGCCAAAAGCATCCAAGGAAGAATCCCGAAGTCGCATACCATCCAATCTGTAGGAAATAGTAGGACAAGGCAGCGAAGAGCGTATATCGGCAGCATTCGATAAAGTACGAGAAGTAGCGACAGTCATAAAGCCCCTCTGCACGGATCTGCTGGTCCAGCTCACGATACCTCTGCTTGATCTTCTCCTGATTTTCCAAATCTAGGGAGGGGTATTTGGCCGTATCGAAGACGAGTTCTTCCTGCGTACGCGCATCGAGAAAGAACGGTTTCGGTTTGAACTCTTCGCTTTTGGCGGTCGAGGCTGGGGTTGCGGGCGCAGGTTTCCGCTGACGAGCACCTGACGTGCTATCGACGGCATCAAAGATCGGGGATGGTGGCTGTGACGTTTCCTGACCGGAACTCTCTTGACCAGAGCTCTCTTCATCGGACAAACAATCCTCGGTATAGGGACGAAACTTTCCGCCCTGGATGGGCGGCAGGAAGTTCACCCATGGGCCCTCGATGCGACCGATCTGAAAGGACAACATTCGTTGGCGCGCTTCTTTGGAGTGTAACCTGTAGAAGAGAAACGTCGGAGTCAACGGTCTGTTCGCATCCGGGCATCCCGGGGTTCATGGGCCACATACGCGTTGATCTCATCCGTGGCATCTTTCCCAACCATGTGCCTGATGGACTTGTCTCCTCCGGGATGGTAGGGAATCCAAGCATCGACTCTGAGTACGCGACCGTCGAAGATGATGACATGCTTGCCTTCTGAAATCAGGCCCTCAATATACCTTCGGGACAAAGTGGTGTCCTTCCGGGCCGCGGAGGTAGAAGGAGCGGTGACCATGGTACAGTGCAACAGGTACCAGTGTAATTTCCAACCAGGGTATCGGGGAAGGGGGGGGGGGGGGGGGGGGGTTACAAAGAGGGTGAAGGATCAGCCCAAGGGGGCATCATATAGTGCAAAGACCTAGTCGGGGGAAGATTAGAAGGGTAGTGGAATGAGATGTTACAATCCAGAGACAGAGAGAGAGGAAGAGACCAGATGGAGGTGGAAGGACAGAATGAAGATGGAACTACTAATAGAAAAGCGGGGACGCGAAGATGAAACGTGCCGGCGATCGTCACCCGATCCAGCGAGTGTCATTCCACCCACATTTCTGTCTCCGTCTCGCCCATTCATTCCCCGTTCCATCATCATCATCATCATCACCATCACTGACTACTATTACTACTTACTACCTTCAATCAGCAGCTTGCTTTCTTCCCTTCTTATTTTTTAGTCTTGTCTTCATTTCTTCCCCTCCTTTAATTCTCTTCCCACCGTCGCTTCTGCATTTCTCCCTCTAAACTCTTGCTCTCCTCCCCCTTCTCCTCCCCCCCAAAACCAAGCTCTGATCCGCGAGTCCCTCCCCCCCCTCCACCGTCCGTCCTCTTCCCCCCCCCAGTCCAGTTGTCAGCGTCGTATGATCCAACATGGCCGCCAACCCAGGAGAGGTATAGTCAACTCCCGGTGTGCGCGGCTACACCACGCTTCTATCTAGATCGATAGGGGCAGAAAAGTAGTGTGGATGTTCTGACTCGGTCCGGCTGGTCCTTTCTGACAGGATTCCCTCTCTCCGCTGATCCAAAAATGGCTTGAGTGGGACCAGGTAAGTCCCCTGCATTTGTCAGATTCCTTTCCGCCCAGCTCAGCTTTAACTCCCCCCCATAGTAGTGGTGGTGATGGAGGTATTGCTGCTACTCAATGCTCTTACTTACTTCCCCACACACAACCTCCCAAATGTCTAGCTGCTAATGCCCAACCCCATTAGGATCCCTCTACTCGCGGGGAAATTGAGCGGCTGCGCGATGCGGGAGAGCTGACGGAGCTGCAGCAGCGCCTGCAAAAGAGTACGTGTGGGCTCGAGACATGCTTCATCTGATCTTCTCGTACCGAATCTAGGCTCTTTACGCTCCCCTGCCTGTCATGTCTAATCCGCAAAAACTGCAGGAATCCAATTTGGCACCGCTGGTCTCCGGGGTCGCATGGCAGCGGGCTTCTCTTGCATGAATTGTTTGACTGTCATTCAGGCATCGCAGGGTCTGGCGATGTACTTGAAGAAGCACCATGGTGATATTGCCTCCTATGGCGTCGTTATTGGCCATGATGCTCGCTACAATTCCGCCAAGTTCGCCGCTCTGGCCGCAAACGCTTTCATCGCACAGAGGATCCCGGTCTGGTTCTACTCCGAGCCTTCTGTTACGCCGACGGTGCCTTTCGGTGTAACCCAACTGCATGCTGCTGCAGGCATCATGGTTACGGCAAGCCATGTAAGGCATCCCTGTCCGCCATTCGAAGATCATGCGGCTAATCCTGCCCTAGAATCCAGCACAAGATAATGGTAGGTTGCCATGGCTTGCTCCTCGACAGCCGGACCGTATCGCTGACGGACGTGGTGAACAGGTTACAAAGTGTCTGGTTGCGCTCATCCAGCCTGTTTTGATTATCACTAACATGCTCCAGCTATTTTAAAAATGGCGCCCAGATCAATACCCCCATGGATGTGGAGATAGCTCGATCTATCGAGGAGAATCTGACGCCCTGGCCCAACGCTTGGAAAGACTTGCAGCCCGGTGAATACTTGCGCCCCAAGGCGTACGACAATCTTCTGCCACACTACAACACAGCAGTGTGGCAATACGCTGTGAGTCTCTATGCATTGTGCTTTTGTAACACGGGCTCATCGCTTTGCAGACATACACGGTCCGGGAATGGAAGCAGCCACAGCCATTTGTGTATACTCCTCTGCATGGTGTAGGAGGCCTGGTATTCCCCAGCTTGTGCCGTTCCGTTGGTATCAAAGATTTCACTGTCGTCCCAGAACAAGAAGAACCGAACCCCGACTTTCCCACGGTAGCTTTTCCTAATCCCGAAGAGGTTGGGGCATTGGATCTCGCGATGCGCACCGCGGACCGGGAGGGTAGAGAAGTGATTATTGCACATGATCCGGATGCAGATCGCTTCGCGGCTGCTGAGAAGGTCAAGTATGTATCCGTTGCCTTACACACCAGAGGACCCCGCTAACCCATCGCAGTGGATCGTGGTTCTCCTTCACCGGAAACCATTTGGGAGTACTGCTTGCATCGCACCTGTTTGATTCTTTGGAGACTATCGACAGCGACACACGAATTGCCGTGCTGAACTCGACCGTCTCTACGTGCATGTTGGAGAAAATGGCAAAGGCCAAGGGGATGCATTACGAAGAAGCGTTGACCGGGTTTAAGTGGATGGGCAACATCGCGCGGAGACTCGAGGAACTCGGCTACTATGTTCCATTCGCCTTTGAAGAAGCGCTTGGGTACATGTTTCCGGAAGTGTGCTACGACAAGGACGGTATTTCCGCCGCTATGGTGTTCTTGCTAGCCCAAGCCAAATGGAATGCTCAAGGGCTCACCCCCTATACGAAGCTCCAACAACTCTTCAAGGAACATGGGCACCACGAAACTCTCAACACCTACGTCCGTTCGACGAACCCAGATCTTACCATGGACCTCTTCCGAAAAATCAGGTCCGGACCGTTCGGCGCCGGCAAGTCCTTTGGCTCCTTCAACATCCAGCGATGGCGAGACCTGACGGAGGGTTACGATTCTGGAACCGAGGACCACACGCCCACACTCCCGGTTGACAAGAACACCCAGATGCTGACACTATGGATGGATCGGGAAGTCAGATTCACCATTCGTGCGTCGGGCACAGAACCTAAAGTCAAAAGTATGTTTGGACATCAAACAGAGCCATGGCGCAGTGCTAATTGTCATTTTAGTCTATATTGAAAGCAGCGGAGCGTCGCAAGACCAAGCCGTCGAGGCTGTCCGTGACACATTCCTGACCGTTATCAAAGAATGGGTCCAGCCTTTTGCTCCAGGCATGACTTACAATGAGCAACAGGTTACTTCCTCGGGCACTAAGTTCCAGGTGAAATAAGTAGCCAGTAAGAGTGATGAGGTGCTTGGGTGATATCTTTTCTTATGTTCATGAATGACTATAGAACACAGCTGGGGGAGGTTGACCCCGCCCCTGTGTTGCCACTTCAGCAGCAAGACTAGCATGAATACGACGCAATGAATCTCTACCGTGATAATTCCGGGTAGTGTTTGGAGTAGGGCTGTAGTGATAGATAGACTGTTTCAGAATTCCGCATTAACATGAATCCTAGGACGAATTTCTATCTTGAAGGTCTCAATCGCATGGGCTCTAATCCTCTTGGTTGCTTCAAATGGGACCCCCCCTGACTCGCCCTAGAGGCTGCTATGTCAAAGAGTTTCGACCAGCACCTCATCAAATGATGGATATGTGCCGCGCGGTATTTCGGTTACTGTCACTCTCCGCTGCATACCTTGATAGCTCGAAAGACGGGACAATGGCCTGGAGCCAAAAGGTGCCATAGGTTATGTACCTAGCTGCAGTATTATGGAGATAACAGTGCTGCTGCAAAGCTGTGCTAGCTCAATGCAGACGCACAACGTCTCTAATCATAAGTTACCGGAGTGTTGCGAGGTGTTACACAACCACTTAGCCTTTGCCAACTGGCAATTCTCTAGAGTGCGCTGGCACACTACTGTCGCTTCCACTGCGGAAGAGCCGTCTCTCTCAACCTGGACATGCTCAATACAGACAAGGGAGCTTGCTCTCCCAAGACCTTTGGCCCTGTTTGAGCATTCCAGTATTACCTGGTCATTGCCTTGAGGGGCTCTGTCCAGGTGGTAGTCCGACACATAACAACCCTCGCGGCACCCTAAGCAGGTCACTATACAGACCGGTCATGATGGATTAGCCCGTCTGGAATCATCTTGCATCACACGGCGGCAGCAGTATGGAGAAAATGGACTCTGGGAAGTCTGAGATCTTGTCTCTGGCTTTACGGAGATGTGAACGCGAAGATAAGGATGCGGGTATAGAAGGAGTAGAGGTCGAGGGAAACAGAGAAGAAGATGGATAGTCGACGCCAGTAGGCGTAGTTTTCATATCCGTCAGAGGAGATGTACAGCCACACACGCCTGCAAAATCAGTGTAGATACTGATTTGGTAGTACAAACCGACGCGAGTCTGCTGTTGCTGCAGTCATATGCAAATCCGTTCATTCATGCCGCGTATAAGAATCCTAATCTCCCCCACTCTTCTCATTGCTCACCACCACCAACTTATTTCAGTCCTCCCAGCCCTCTACTGTAGTGGCCTAATCATGGCGTCCCCATCTCCTATGAAAATAATCATTGTAAAAGAGTTTCCTGCCTCCTGCAACCAATGCCTTTGAGTACGAACACTAACCAATTGCTTCAGGTCGGCGGCTCCCTTTCAGCTCTAATGCAAGACATCACTCTCCATCAACAGGGCCACTCCATCCACATCCTCGAACAGAGTCCCACACCAACTCCCGTCTCGCACATGGCCGGCGTTAGCATAGGTCCAGACGTCCAGACGTTCCTGTCGCGCTTCGACCGCGTCTCCCACATTCCACTGGGCATCCCAGCCACGCAGCTTCAATCCGTCGACCACTCGGGCCAACCGAAGCCCTTTTTCCGCCTTCAGCGCATCATGACCTCCTGGGATGCCTTGTATTTTCGTCTCCGCGCCAACTATGATGGTCTAGCCAGCGACTACATCCCCAACCCTCCAGATCCCCTCTCTACCTTACCAGACGAATCCTCATGCGACGCACGAGCCAGCGCACGATACGAGTATGGCCAGCGAGTCGTCGACATATCCGAGATCCCATCGACTGGACAGCTAGCTATCGTCACAGAGAGCACCAGCAGTAGCACAAGAGCCACAACGACATACACAGCAGATCTAGTCCTCGGCGCCGATGGCCCACGTTCCACCGTCCGCCAACTTTTCTTGCCCCCCTCCCCTCAAGGTGACAACAAAACCCACCGCAAATACGCTGGCTACCTCGCCTGGCGCGCCATTATCCCCGAAAGCCGCATAACCCCTGCCACCCTCGCTATCTTCCAGTCCAACATCAGTTATCTAATTCGCAAACGCCCCACCCACGGCTCCCACATCGTCGTCTACCATATTCCCGGCCCCAATGGCTCCATCACCCCAGGTACCCGCTATCTCAACTTCTGCTGGTACGAGAACGTGCCTGCGCATGACCTCCCAACTCTCATGACAGACATCCATGGCGTGCGGCATCACACCACCGTAGCGCCGGGCCTGGTACCGCCACGGATATGGAACCTACAACGTGCACAGGCAGCCGAGGACATGTTGGATTTCCCAGCTCCCTTCCGTGAACTTCTCTCGCTGATTGATGCTCCGTTTCTGCATCTCATCACGGATTATCCGCCGGCGGAGAGGACATGTTTTCTCGGTGGTAAGGTGAGGTTGGTGGGCGATGCGGTAACACTTATGAGACCGCATGCAGCGTTTAGTACGAATCAGGCGGCGGCGCATGCAGCGCTGATTGGTAGGTGGTTGGATAGGGAGGCAACAGCTGGTATGTCGGAGAAGGAATGGGAGTATCAGGTTGCTAGGTCGGCGGAGTTGCATTGGGCCAGGAGCATTTGGTATGGCGAGTACCTTCAGAATTGGTCGATGGTGAGTGCCGTTTGGCACGGTGCGGTTAGGTATTGGCTGCTGGCGGCGGGTTATTGGGTGAGGTATTGGTGTGGGTGGGTGGATTGGCCTGTTACTTAGTTATCTATAGACTGCGGTCTAGATTGATACATATTAGCAACCACGTCCTGTTGCTAGGACTTAGGTATGGTTGCTGGCCATGTATGTGGTTTCATACGCCCATATAGCAAGGTATAGCCACATCCTGGGCGGCGACACAGTGCTACCATCTGCTAGGATCCAGGAATGCGGCCCAAGAGATATCATTAGCTCTACTTAGTAACATATCAGCGCTCCCTTCTACTTTCCAATCTTCGATCTATCTGTTGGGGTGGAAATGTACGCTGTGGCTGACCCGGAAACCCGATCTATCCTCGACCATCAGATCATTCCCTCTTTCACCTCTTTCACCTCTGCATCATCTCCCTGGGGAGATCCAAATCCCACAAACAACCTTTCCCACTTCATAACCAGCGCCAACGCCACCGAAAGAGCAGCAGCAGCAATTATCAAGACAAACACATCATCAACACTACTAATAATAGCAGCCACCACGCGTTTCCGCTGCACAACACTCAACGAAGTGAAGAACTCCGCACGCACACCAAAAATAGCCTGTTGAATGATGTTGCGGGGCTGCTGCGGAAGAATAGCCGCAATCCGGCCAGTACTCTTATTCAGGAAGATCGTATTGGTAATAGTCAAAGCGAGAGCGATACCACCGTCCTAACCGACGCCAATAAACGCAACCACCTGGGAGAGCAGCCCCGGAGAGGCCTTGACCTGAGCAATGGGAGACCCAGCCTGGGAGTGGCACCCGACGTCAAAGGCTGTGAGCATCGAATATTCATACAGACGAGCGCTACTGTTGTCTGGACCGACGGTAGAGAAAAGGGGCGCTGCCGACTAGAGCGAGACATGCGCCTACCAGGTACCACGGCATGTAGTAGCCTAGCTGGGCCGTGAGGGCGCCGTTCAGCATCACGGCTACGACCAGCACGAGCACAAATGGCGATTTATTGTAAAGGCTCCGAGGGCAAATGCTACATAGATCCATGGTAGGCTGTCAACTTTACCTAGTATTCTGATGATGGCTGGCTGTACATTGGCCATGATGGTGTTGTCCAGCGCAAAATCAAAAAGGGCTACTAGTAAAAAGAAGACTATGAGAGACCATGTTAAGGGCTTCCAGGCGTGCTCGTCTGGGTTGGTCATGGTTGTTGTCCCTCGGGGCTCAAGAGTCACGGAAGCCGGTGTGGGTGCTATAATGCCCGGAATGAAGCACGATCTGTGACCCTTGTGAAGGTAATATCTCTAGCATTGTACTTATGCGACACCGTACCAGCAACATCTTTGAAAGCGGCACAAGGCTGCGTCTAGCTGTCGCAGTTATCTGGCGCAGCGTGATCACAGTCAGTTGTGGGTAGACTAGCAGGGATTGACCGATCAATACTTGAAAAGGAAAGGCAAGCCACCTCAGCTGCCGTTAGGGCATCACCAATCGGCTATGGACATCGACTACAACTGGTCCAAAGGAACAAAGAACTTATAAGGCGCTAGAGAACCAGCATTCGGCTCTGTTACACTAAACGCTTGTGGTGGTTAGTGTTCCCGATGCCCGCAAATCAGGTTTCATTGAGATCCAGGCTGCAGGGGATTCTAATTTCTGACTGCAGCCAAGTCCATTCTCAACCAGCCCACCTTACAACCTAAATTAGACGCAGTAGTCACTCTGACTAGGCATGGGCTTGTCATCCAATGGCGGGAAAGTCCCGCAGTTAGTGAACGGCCTTTCCACTAATCCCAGCGGGTGTGTCTTCCTTATGGGCCACTCGGTTAACCTACTGTAGTGGCTCGCGACAAGGATACCAGCCTGATCAGAGGAGATTAACCATGAAAGGTGTGAAACAGCCCATTGACTCTCTGCTGTCCGTGCGGGGGCTCAGTGGATGTTATCCATGTCCTATCTATAGTCCTTGTCTCTTGGGTTAAAAGATCACCCCTCCCTATGACTTCCCCTCCTTGGTTTCTCTCTCTTTCTCGCTCATAAGCGTCTCTTCTGTCTTCATTTCACCTCCCCTCCCTCTGTCTCTCATTATCTTACCATCTCCTACTTCTTTCTTATATACACGCTTACAATGGTCATCAAAGGCACCCAATTGGATGGCGTTGCCCTCGTCGTCGGCGTAAGAACTACCCCAACCATCATCATCATCACCACAGTATTATCTCCAAGAAAGATCACCTCCCAGCTAACCTCCAAGAAATCCAGTCCGGCCGTGGCATTGGCCAACAAGCCGCCTTCTCTTTAGCTGAAGCAGGCGCCCGTGTCATCGTCTTCGCCGACATGAACACCGAAACAGCCACTGCCTCTGCCGAAGAGAGCAAGCAATACGCCACGAACCCAGAATACCAATCCACTCACTTCACTGTCAACGTCACCGACCAAGACGGCGTGCAAGCCATGGTTGACTTTATAGTCGAGAAGTTCGGACGGCTGGACTATGCCGTAAACGCTGCAGGAGTGAGTCCCATCCACCTCCACTCATCCACCATCATCCCTAAAGGATATCTACAACAACCTAGAACATAGTACTCTCCCACCAGACTAACTCAAAAGAACTAGGTCGACAACGGCGTCCACACCCCCTTCGCCGATACCGACATCGACAACTTCGACCGCGTCCAGACCATCAACGCCCGCGGTATGTTCCTCTGCTGCCGCGCCGAAGCCGCCGCCATGCGCAAGCAGGCCTCGCGCACCTTCACCAGCCGCACCGGCACCCGAGACATTGGCCGCGGCGCCATTGTAAACGTCTGCTCAGCCAACTCTTTCGCCGGACTGCCCGGAAAGGGATCGTATACCGTCTCCAAGCATGCTTGCATGGCAGTGACGAAGATGGTTGGTAAGTTTTTTTTTTCCTTTTTCCTTGCCTACATATGTACATTATGCAAATTCATTTTCTCTCTAATATATGTTTCACTTCAGGACTGGATCACTCCGCCGAAGGCATCCGCTGCAACGCCGTGTGCCCCATCTGGGTCCGCACCCCTCTTCTGGACGTCGAGTTGGAGCGGAACCCCCAGGTGCGCGCGGAGATCGAGGCCGTTATACCAATTAAGCGTGCGGCTGAGAGTGATGAGGTTGGCGATACTATTGTTTATTTGCTTAGTCCGTCGGCAAGTTATGTTAATGCCACGAGTTTGTTGTTGGATGCGGCGGTGACGGCGACCTTGAGGTTTCATTGATTACTTGCTATATATGCCTGGCAGTTAAGGCGGGAGGCTGAGGGCTCTATGAACATGATAGTAGATCTAATTATGGGGAGGTAGAAGAGTATGATCAATAAGAAGGGATTTTCGCTTTGATATTATAGTTGGTGTAAGGAATTAAAGCATTTAATTGCTAATTGACTCGTTAGTTGGTTTCGAGAAAGGCTTAAGGGATATAGGGCGTAGAAATGTTTCATTCTGTATAAAAACACTGTAGTTACCTGATATATATTGTGAATTTTGTGGGTATGGTTCAATTATCCAATGGGTTATGATCTCTCTCTCTCTCTCTCTCTCTGATAGAGTATTACAGTGGGACAGGAGACAGCCTTTTAGATATGAAAAGCTGTAGGAGGTGTTATTTTCAATGTCTTTGGGTTATTCTGCAAAATAAAGCGCAGTCTTTCAACAACATCCGATATGGTGTAGTGGCTAACATCGCCGTCTCTCACACGGCAGCCGGGGGTTCGATTCCCCCTATCGGAGCTCAAATTCTCTTTTTGTTTTTATGTTTTAATACATTCTCCACTTTGCGAATACTTCAGTTGGTTGAGTGGTTGATTGGTGATGTGTTTCACTGACTACATACTCTTTTTACTCATCAACTGGTGTAATGTTAGGCAGTACTATTGATTTCGTTATATTTGAATACACAACCAAAGATAGGAAAATTTAATGAGGTCAATGCTACACGGAAGTGACTAGCTGAGCTAGACTAAGATAAGAGACAAGAGGCCAAAAAGGGTACAGGATAATGCGGGTGGGTGTGTATGGTTTCATGATCAAGACAGGGGGGGAGCTGCTTAGAAGTGGATGGCCTTGGAGTAGGTAGCCATGGCAGCCTCCTTGAAGGCCTCAGCCAGGGTAGGGTGAGCGTGGCAGGTACGAGCAATGTCCTCGCAAGAGGCACCGTACTCGACAGCCAGGGTGGCCTCGGCGATCATCTCACCGGCGTTGGGGCCGATGATGTGGACACCGAGGATGCGGTCGGTCTCAGCATCGGCGATGAACTTGACCTGACCCTCAGTCTCGAGATTGGTCTTGGCACGGGAGTTGGCGCTGAAGGGGAAGGTACCGACGCGGTACTTGATGCCGGCAGCCTTGACTTCCTGCTCGTTCTGGCCGACCCAAGCGACCTCGGGGTGGGTGTACATGACGCTGGGGATGCAGCCGTAGTTGACGTGGCCGTAACCCTTCTTGATGTACTCGATGGCAGCGACGGCCTCCTCCTCGGCCTTGTGGGCAAGCATGGGTCCGAAAGTGCAGTCACCGATCACGCGGATGTTGGGGATCTTGGTGCGGTACTCCTGGTCGATGACCAGACGGCCGCGCTCGTCCTTCTCGACACCGACGCTCTCGAGGTTGAGACCCTCGGTGTAGGGGCGGCGACCGATGGCGACGAGGACAACGTCAGCGTCGAGGGTCTCCTCCTTACCACCCTTGGCGGCCTCAACGCTCAGAGCGACGGTAGCACCGCTGTCGTCACCCTTGGTAACCTTGGTGCCGGTCTTGAACTTGATACCCTGCTTCTGGAGGATCTTCTGGGCCTGCTTGGCGATGTCGGCGTCCATGCCGGGACCACCGATCTGGTTCAGGAACTCGACGACGGTAACCTCAGAGCCGAGGCGGGACCAAACAGAGGCCTGTTGAGGGGTAGAAAAAGAAACCATGAGCATGGATTTTCAAACGGCAAAATCGGAATGCATTCCACCAGGTATACGCACCATTTCCAGACCAATGATTCCACCACCGATGACGATCATCTTCTTGGGGACCTCCTTGAGGGAGAGGGCACCAGTGCTGGTGATGATTCTCTTCTCGTCAATGTTGAGGCCGGGGAAAGGAGTAGCCTCACTACCGGTGGCAATGAGGATGTTCTTTCCGCGCAGAGTCTGCTCACCACCCTCAAGGAGGTTAACCTTGACGGTGTTCTGGTCAACAAGAGCACCAGTACCCTTGATGTAGTCGACACCGTTCTTCTTGAACAAGAATTCGATACCCTTAGTCAGACCCTCGACGGAGGTGTCCTTGGCCTTCATCATCTGCTCAAGGTTCAGCTTCACATCACCGACCTCGATACCGCGCTTTTTCGTGTCGTGGAGAATCTGGTGGTAGAGGTGGGAGTTGTTGAGCAGGGATTTCGAGGGGATACAGCCGACGTTCAGGCAGGTACCGCCCAGACGGCCACGCTTCTCGATACATGCGGTCTGTGAAAATGAAGTCGTTAGAGGGATCGTCCAGCCGGAACATTTCGAGGAACGATAGATAGCGCACCTTCAGACCTTCCTGACCGGCCTTGATGGCAGCAACGTAACCAGCGACACCACCACCGATGATGACAAGATCGTGTTCGCCTGCGTTAATTCCAGCCGACGGTTAGCCGGGGGCCACTTTTTTCGGAAGCGCAGGCACCGTCTGCGACGGGCCCATCGCAAAGTAAAAAGGTCACCTACCTGACTCAGAGGCATAGCCACGTTGTGTGCGTCCAAAGGAGGCGAGAGAAGGAGCAGCGACGAAGGTAGAGGGAACGGCCTTGGGACCGGCACAGCGGAGGGCAACCCGCGGAGTCGCCCGCGGCAAAAGACTCCGGAACATGGTGAAAAGGAGGCGAAAGGGCAAAGGAAAAAGTCAAAGGATATAGAAAGCACAGCGGACTACCAGACCTCCCAGTGAACAAGCAACGAAGGGGAGGGGAGGGGACAATTGGAGGTGGGAGGAGACGGGCTCAAGTGGTTAGAGGATGATAGGGAAAAACGATGTTGGGACAAGAAGCTTTCTGGAGGTTCGCCAGCAAAAGCTGGCGGCCCGGTATCGATACTGTATGCCTCGCGTATGTAATCATCCGCCCCGTGAGCGTCGGGTCAATTCGGCTAACCTTTGCCATGTTGCCGATGTTGTGCTGAACCGTAATTCCGCTACAGTGTCTGGCTCTTCAATCCCCAGAAGTTTCTCCTGCTTCTGATATCTGGGGTAGTTCCCTGATCGCTTGACATCAAGCGTGCGAGGCCGTGCCGGGGCTGCACCTGGCTGAATACCGGTCAGTGTTACGGCCCAAAATACCTCATAGAATCGCCCAAAAGGGTAAGGAACCAGACTCTCTCCCGCTTCGGAGTCAGCAGAAGGGAATCACTTGCAGTCTCGAATAATTGCAGGAGTCACGCTCCCAGTGAACAGTCAATCTTGCATCATGAACTGCTCTCCGGTGCCTCTGGGAATGAAAATTACCGAAGCTCGTCAGTCTCCGCGGGTAACTGGCCAAGCCCCTGGCTCCATAAAGGCTATCGTCGGCATGGCTCGAGCCAGTGCACGGCACCTAAAGGTAGTCCAGATCTTGGGCTGAAGGCCATTGGACTGGAAGTCTAAAGCGCGGATTGAATGGATCGCTCGTAAATTCATCCCAATCTGACTTGGAGTGCTGGCGCTCTTTATTGGATGATGCGGATGAGCTTGGACTGATATGACGTGACTTGCGTTTTGCAGAGCGCATCTTGCGGAGCATCGACGTCCGTAGCTCTGAATCTAAGTCAGCTTAACTTGGTGCCGATGGCCGACATGTTCAACCATAAGACTGCAGACAGTGTCTGGTCAACTGGCGTGCATCCTGTAGTGGTTACTGGCTTGGCAATTGGGGATGGTTCAGAGGGTAACAGCGGTGCTTCGTTGAAGAATGGAATGCTTCTAGGCTACGATTAAGCGCCTCAGGTTGACTGTGAATGTGTTGTTTTGGTCATTTGTAGTAGGATTATGGCTTTCCCCCAGTGGCCACTCATGCTTTCATGCAGATCCGGAATTATATTGTTTCGCCCAAAATTGTTCTGTCCGGAACGAGAACCGTTGAGAAACGGCACGGCTAAAATTACATTGCACAGGCGAATAATTCCTCTGCAATCAGAGCTCGCGTTCTGGTCATGGCAATACTGATTGCACAAGAGCAGAGTGCAATGAGACACCACTCACAGCAATAGGGGAATCAATTGCACATACAACTGTCTATCCAAGGTGGGTGACGGGCCCCAAACACGGTTTAGCGGCTCGGATGCTGCTGGCGCCCACTCAATCTATATTAAAGTGCACTTCTAGTCTTCTATAACCGGTTGCTCCAATTTCGGCCGGAGTAGGGTGAGTTTGTGATCTGATATCAATTAGTTCCGCTCCGCTACGCCCCTGGTCTCATTGAGCCATAAGATTTTTAGTTGCCTGACGCCAAGGGGTGATAAAATGCTACTGGACCACCACCATGGCTAAAAAGTCATACTAGAGACGACTTTACCAAGTCCTGACAAGTTCTAGGAAGAGCTGTTTTCTTGTTTCTTATGAAGTGTCATTTCAAACTTGCAAAATTCCGCCATTGTTGTGATAAGGGAATCTGAATGCCATCCTCGAAACCACTGCTCCCATACCGTTGATATGTACTGACAGCTGAGAACTGTAGAGAACTCTTAGATTCCATATCATACGGCTCACAAAAGCCAGGAAGAACAGAGTTATACTTATGCTTGCCTATGCGAAGTGTAAAAGCGCAGAAAGCCCTAGACTTCAATATGCCGAGATGAAGTAAACCTCTAACTTCAGGCAAGGGTTGTACGTAGACACTCGCGGCATGCTGCACGAGCAGCAGCAGCAGCAGCAGCAGAAGGTGAGCAAGCAGGACTAACAAGGCTACTTATCACACTCTAATGTTAACTTTCGGATGAGCCTCACCTCACCAGGTTCTTGGGATCATCGATGCGCCAGTAGGAAATCTCAGACAGTCCCCACAGCTTTCTGACAACCAAATCATATCTGCCATGGACAAGAGCCAGGCCACTTCTCAGTATTGTGGCATGTCACTATCTCATAGTCAGGTTGCCAAATTCGTGGCAGGATTAGTGAGCCCGACATAGGTTATTGTGTGCGTTGATAAAGCTATTATCCTAAGACATATCAATTTTGCAGGAGACCTAGTTGTCTACGAAATATAAAGAGAGCTTTGCAAAGACATAAGAAGATAGTCATCTGAATAAGTTTCTTTCAACATCCAGCAAAGATAGTTGGCAGGCTAAACTGGCACGGGATGTCCCAAAGAGGAGAGTCGGAGTTGGTCCGCCGCGATGTTCTCCGGATTTACTCAATCTGGCTGAAATCCCCACCCGCTTGGACCAAAATCCCCGGAAAACCTCCACACTTCAGGCCATCCACTCCTCCTGATGGCCTAATCCGCTATCCCAACTACTCTGTACCACCCGCTCCAGCTTTAGTGACCCGCCGATACCGCTGCTTTCTTGAATCCCGTTCGTGCATGGAGTGCGTTCCCCAGTATGCCAACCCCGGATGGTGCAGTGTGAACAGCCGAGTTTCGGTTGACTAGCACCTGGCTCTCCTACACGACACATACAAACCACACTAGCATGCCGTCACTGTTTCCACCTCGGACATTGGTCCATAATCCTTCGGTCTGCAGGTCGGCAGCATAGGCGCTGGCCGGATGACCGATTTGGACTCGTCCGCGTCCCGGTCTGGGGTCGGGTTCCCACCCATTCTCTCCAGACTTTCTCGTGCGGGTCCCGTATTCCAATGGCGTCTCTGCTTTTGAGTGGGACCAAGTGCCTTGATGTGGCTGTTTGATGTCCTCCCACCCGGGATGTAACCATATTCGACTCATCGGGCTGGCACCGGTCCTGCGCCATGGGGTTGCTCTGAAAATGGATGATCTTCAGGCGCAAATTGCACCACCAAGCTTATAGTCCGTTCTATTTAATCGTCGCGTCGCCCCGCTGTCTCTGTAACCTTCCTTCCCATTCGCACGTGGTTCTATACAGCAGGTAGTTGATCTCTCCCCCAAATCACGCGGTCTTTCTGCTTGAAGTCACCCAAGCGGAAGAAGGTATCTTCCGGTATACACCCGAACAGTCACTGCAACCGCCTACCCTAGCGTAGTCACCATGGGTGACCTAATACCATCATGGAATATCGTCCACAAATTAGAGAAGCGTAATCTTCTCATCGCTATCAATTGCATCGCGGCCTTGTCGATCCTATTCTTCGGGTATGACCAGGGGATGATGTCAGGTGTGAACAACTCCAAAGACTACATCGACCTTATGGGCTTCGGATACACCAAAGTGGAAGACGGAGAGCTCACCCCGGTCGTTACAAACAGTCTGTTGCAAGGCGGGATTGTGTCTGTCTACTACCTGGGGACTTTGTGTGGCGCGCTAATTGGTGGCTGGATCGGTGACAAGATTGGCAGAATCAGGACTATCGCTACAGGTGCAGTCTGGGCGGTTTTGGGGGCGTCATTGCAATGCGCAGCGCAGAACCACAATTGGATGATCTGCTGTAAGAGACCCAAAGAGCCTATTCGCACTCTAAACTGACGTATGATCACAGCCCGTTTTATCAATGGTATCGGCACGGGGATTCTGAACGCTATCGTGCCCGTCTGGGCTACAGAGACAGCTGAACATACCTCCCGTGGGCAGTTTATCGCAATCGAATTTACTCTCAACATCTTCGGTGTCGTGGTGGCTTACTGGCTTGAATTGTAAGTATACATTACTTCTCTCGAGGCTTGTCTAATTGATGTAGTGGCTTGTCCTTTATCGATGGCGGCAAATCCGCTTTCCGGTGGCGTTTCCCCATCGCGTTTCAAATCATCTTCTTGCTCCTCTTGTTTGGCTCGGTCTGGTTCTTTCCCGAATCACCACGTTGGCTGGTCAAAGTTGGTCGCGAGCAAGAAGCGCGTTACATCCTTGGCCGTCTTCGAGGAAGTACTGGCGATGATGCTGTCCGCGCTGAAGCCGAATTCCGGGATATCCAGAACGTTGCAGAAATGGAACGGTCAATGAACCACAGCACTTCGTACCTAGCAATGCTTTTTGGACACAAGACAGGCAAATTGCATCTTGGACGACGTGTGCAGCTGGTTGTCTGGCTGCAGATCATGCAAGAATGGGTTGGTATCGCAGGTGTCACTGTTTGTATGTCAACTACCAAAGCACATCTACTGGACTAGTCTAACATGAGCAGATGCGCCCACCATTTTCAGCATTGCCGGTTTCGACTCGATGAAGAGCCAATGGCTTAGTGGACTGAACAACGTCTTCTACATGGTGAGTGCTATATCTTTCATCATGGGACGTTGCTAACAGCTCAGTTCGCAACACTCGTATGTGTCTTTACGCTCGATCGCATCGGTCGTCGCTGGACCCTATATTGGGGAGCAGTCAGTCAAGGAATCGCCATGTTCTTAGCCGGAGGATTCTCTCGCCTAGCCATCAATGCCCGCGACTCGGGCGATGCTGCTCGCGCTAGTTCCTTCGGAGCAGCCGCGGCCGCAATGATATTTATCTTTACAGCTGCTTTCGGAGCTACATGGCTGACAGGTACATACCAAGCTTCTTCCTGTAGAGACCGTCGCTAATTCGCACACATGTAGTACCCTGGATCTATCCCGCCGAGATCTACCCACTGGCAGTACGAGCCCGCGGAAACGCCTGGGGCGTGGTCGGGTGGAGTATCGGAAACGGATGGCTGGTGAGTTCATCCTCCTAGATTGCGAAGCAAAGCTAACACAGCCGACTAGACACTTCTTTGCCCTGTGATGTTCAGCGCCATTGGCGAGAAGACGCTATATGTTTTCGCAGCCAGCAACGTCATTGCAATCCCGATGGTGTGGGCATTCTACCCAGAGAGCAATCAACGTACCTTGGAGGACATGGATCTGCTTTTCGCGTCGGACAGCCCATGGGTATGGGATGCAGAGAAAACGTTCAAGCAGCTGAAGGCAGAGAATCCGGGCTATGTGGAGGCGACGGCACGAAAGGGAAGTGTGGTATTGGAGCATGTGGATGTATGAGCACTTTTCTAATGACTGTGTATGCGAACGACCTGCTTAGATATATAGTCTCAACAAGAGACCACTAGCATATTGAACCCTTAGTACATTCGGGAGATATTGAATGTGAAGACAGCTAGTTGATCACTGTGTCTTCATCCGAGTAATATACCAGTAAACCCTTAAATTTACCTTGTTCATAAATAACTTACAACAACAAATACCAAGACCGCATTCGCCAGTAGTTCCATCCCAACTTCAAATATTGAATGAAGTCTATGATTTATGATCAGCAACCATTTCACAGCGGCCAATTACAATATATTTTAAAACAAACGAGATTGCCACAAGCAACCTGGGGTTATAGCTCAGTGGTAGAGCGCTCGCTTTGCATCCTCGCAAGTATGCGAGAGGTCAAGGGTTCGATCCCCTTTGACTCCAACTTTTTGGGGTTTTCTTTTTTCTTCTTTGACCCATAAATGCCTTGTAAGGTAAACAAGATCGGGATTTTGTGAGGTTTGACTTTGAATTAGTTAGAGGTAGTGTTTGACAGGTAATGTATAGAGTAATTAGTTGCAGTGCGTTTATGAGTACTATTTGATTTCGTTACGGGGAATATAGTGGGAGCTCTACGCTACGGAGTACATAATCTCTCCTAATTGTGGCATGAATGTAGACTGTGAATTAGTTCATAAAGTAAATGGGCAAACTTAGTCTGTATGTTGCTTTATTTATTTATCTATTCTTTTTTTACGCTGGTACGGTGATCTGGTGGATTGCTAGTCCGTCTGAAAATCATTAATTAGAACTCTCTGGGCACCAAACGATGGATACAAATCAATGATCAACCTTGACACCGCAAAAAAGAATTCGAAGTACGAGGAATGGGAACAGTGAGATAAGTATGAAGAAAGTGAGAACAAGTGGGCGCAAGAAAATTCAGTCATCCCCGCTAGTATATAATGCAGCGGTCATATCCTCTAGTATATTTTCAAATTTGACCACGGGCAGCTCGGGTGTCTAAGTTTTCGGATCAACATCTGGTAGACTGTCAATTGCCGAGCAGAGTCGTTGATGATGAATTGGGACCCAGTCATGATAGAGAGCTATCACAAACTTGTAAGATCTCCATCTGTCCTTGTACTCATCCTGGCAAAAGCCGAAAGAGAAGCTACCAATGCGATCGCAGTAGTATGTTGCCTTGTTGTCTTCTATAATAACATAGTGCGCAAACATCTCGACCTTCTGAAAGTCATAGTAGACAGAAAAACCGAGGACCCTTTGATGTAACTCATCCTGACGACCAGCTACTCTAAAAAGTTCAACAACACCTCGGAGGGCTCGAGTCATGCTATGCATTGATCGTGGCCGGATAGTATACTCAAGATCGTCTGTCCCTAGTGCTTCAGTCACAAGAAATGGAAATAACATGCTGTCGGTTCCTTTGAAACTCGAGGCCTCCCAAAACTCACCCACAAAGGGCTTGAGCTTGCGAAGCTGTTCTCTGCTGAACGCATAATTTGAGAATCCCACTGCATAAGAAGGCTGCGGTGTCGGGAGTCTGAGCCACGGGGCTGAGTCTCCGCATGCATTTCGTACTAGACTCGGATCCTCGTCAAGAGTAGTCGATCCATACCAGGGTTCACGGATACTCTCAGCCAGATGGATCTGACGTAACCCCTTAATAGAACCGAGTCGACCCGACAAGATCTCAAGCTCCGCAGACGGAACCATCAACTGACCGATCATTCGAGAGGTTCCATTTCCATTCTTCCCGCTATACTGTTGCCTGTTGATGTACCGAAGGTTTTCTTCATCAAATGCTGTGTCTACAGGAGTCTCACATTCCCGTTTTAACAACTCCTCGCAAATCTGTTTATCTTCAATGGCCATCTCTTCATCCGTATATCGGCGCCAGAAGCTGCCCTTATGCCTGAGATAAAACTCACAGTCGGTATTAGCTTCGAGTTGAAAGTTGTACTCATACCTTCCTTTATCGTACTCCTCTTCTTCCGTAGCCCGGGGCTGGATAACAACGGACCCAATGACATTATTGAAGAGCATTTTCGGCCATACATTATTCTGTATCCAGTAGTGTATGGAAGAGCCTTGGAAGGTCTGCAGGAGTGCTTGGACCCGCTAGTATAGTGTCAGGTCTATTTTGTTTCTTCATTATGGGAAAAGTGGCGAGCGACATACCTCCTGATCGATGTTTCCGGGATCCGGTAGAGCAGGATTCTGCTGTCGACAAGGCTTCTTGGGCTGTTTTTCCACATGTTGTGATGCCGGCGCTTTTCGCTTTTTCTGCATGTTGGCTGATGGTTTGGTTTGTGACTATGATACACAAAACGTCAGTGTCTGATAGCGAAATAGCAAGTTGCTCGCATTATACATACGTTTGTACGTTTGTTTGATGGTGAAGAAGGTTATTGCTTCTCTGTGCTGGCTAGTTTCCTTTGTGCTATTTCACGAATGCGATCACTTCTTCGACGGCTTTCTTGATGAACCTGTTCTATGCGAGGCATTTTGGCTGCAGAGAAGAAGGAGAAGTAACTGAACTGAGAAGATTGTATTGAGTAGAGTTGGTGTGCAGGATTAATCAAGTAAAGAATGATGAGTATCATTGATGGCAGCATGGCCGAGGATGAATTGTGGAAGTATATAGTACTACCCATAAATGGGTCAAAAGACAGAGAAACATGGTAGAGTTACAAAGTGTTTAGAATTTATGCAGCTTGTTTGTTCTCAACCTGGAATGTTCCGGACCATTACCTTCAACAAAGAGTCTTGTTCTTTCGTTAATCAATGGTGAGTAGTAATGTGAAATTGAAAGAAAGGAAATGGACTGCGGGGTCATCACGTCGTAATAAAGGTGGCGTAGCCTGCTTAATATGCATTTAAATGAAGAAACAGATATAGACACAAGTATACTCCATGTAGGCAATGAAAACAGCCGATATCAAAGTCCATCGAATTTGTCACCTCGGGGTCGTTACTGGAAAAGTCCGGCATCACTTAGGCCACCTCATGCTAAGAGAATTCTTTAGAGAGAAGTAGTTGCAATGAAATATGAACGGCACACCCCGGAGATGAGCACAGAACACCCCGAGAATTCAAAGGCAAGAAAATGTTGTCAAGCTCTACTCTCTGACACTCTTCCTTATTTAAGGCCGTGCTTCACCCCTGCCAACAGGTTCTATGCACCCCCTCTCCATTCACTCAAAGCCTCACCCTTTATACTCACATCTTTGTTTTGCTGCTCCATCTTCCAAGAATATCCCCACAATGCCTTCCTCCTCCGAGCTCGCCCTCATCAGGAAGTATCCCGCTACACCCTACCAGGACCTGCAAGTCCTCACCAAGGCCGTTGCAGATCTACACAAAAGACTGGAAACAGAAGATGTGAGCCAATACCTATCTTTCAAGAATGTTTCTCTAAAAGAGTTCCGATTCATTGAAAGTCGTCGAAAGAAACTGGGCAGCGCAGTCCGTTTCACTTACTATCCTGAAATCAGCACCCTCGTACTCAAGGTGGTTACCAGCACCACTGAAACTGTGCATGACAGTCTCTGCCACATTATATCGACCAGACTCGCTGACATGAACATCGATGACAATCAGTTCGTATCCCTAGGAGCCTCAGAATTTGAAGGGCCATGGGGCGCGATCAAAGAAGGGGACAGTGCCTTCAAGAATCCTGCTATCCGATCTGATAAGCGTGATTGGCCTTCCTTTGTGATGGAATCTGCAGTGTCTGATGCTTCCATGCCACGTCTGCGGCAGGATGCTGCGTGGTGGATTGCAAACTCCGTTGGGGAAGTTAAGGTTGTCTTGATTATCAATGTGTTAATGCAAACAAGGTGCATTGTGCTTGAGAAATATGGCCCCGAAGACCAAAAGTCTCCTAACACTAGGTCTCAGTCCAAGGGAGGCCCAAATGATTACCGGCCTGTGTTGAAATCCACGACTACAGTGAATTATGGAGCCGAAACACCCCATGTAGAGGGTGATTCAGTCAAGCTAAAGTTCAAGGATCTTATGGGGAGATCAAGGGGGCCATCTGAAGGGGATGTTGAGATCGGTCATGCTGAGCTGTTGGAGCTTGCTGAATTGGTCTTTGAAAACTGAGGTGCTGCAATATGTCCAATATATCAGTCGTTGGATGGCTTTAGCCAGACGTTTGAGAGTTCAGGATAGCTGAATATATAGCATTCGAATTCATCGTATGGCACAGCCCCTATTTGATTCAATTCATATTATGTTGAGAGACATTCACAGTAGCCAGACACCACCTTTGGTAAATTGCTTAGGCTACCAAGGAATGATAGATACTAGTTAGTATTTCTATCCATTTCTCGGCCCTCATCAGCAGCAATCGTAGCCTCTCCTCTCTCACCCAGATCCCGGAATAGTGCAATTATCTAGGTAATATAGTCATTCAACACAAGGCATTCTCTAAGCATACAAGATAGATTTGCTTTGTAAAAGGGTAACTGGGATGATGATGATGCATGGCTTGTTAAGGGCATATGGTTCAAGATACACGTGTACGCTGCAGCTGGGTTGCAAATGATCCTTGCTAATAACTTATGATAGTATGTACTAGATATACAGGTCGCTTTTTGTAAATGCACAGGGGTTGACAAAAGGCGTGTTAGAACCCCATGGTCATCAACTGTCGTCTAAGGAACAAATTTCGCCAGGTGGTGCACATTACGACTTAGAAAAGTACCCAACTACTTTTCCTTTTGACTGATTCTGATCTAGTATTGTATCATATTTCTATATTGTGCTGAATAACATGCCATTCTTTTGCAATTTGATCCGGGCAGCCATGATTATTCCCCAAACCATACCGTGACATATCAATGAGATCATGAGAAATCATGTTGACCGAATTGATAACACAAAGAAACTTAGGAAACCCGCCATGAGGACTATACTATGGAGACCGAACTGAAGGAACATACTATATATAATTATGGCCAAGGTGTTGTGGGCGGCCAGGAGAAAAGCGCAGCCTATGATTAGTGTCCTTCCTTCAACCTCTTTGAACCTCTGGAAGCCTTTCGTCCAATGGATGGCTGAGGTTGATTGCCACGCTTCCTTTTAGTATCTGCGTCCAATTCCTCATCCTCTGGCAATAAACTTTCCCCCCGTGAGGAATCCTGGTCAGTTGGGCTCCCGGGCTGAACCACCGACTGGCGAGGTGCACCGCCTGAAGGAATATCCGGTAAACGGTCAATTGCAGAACAAAGTAATGCAAAATACGTTGGAACCCAGTCATGATAGATGGCCATTACAAATTTGTAAGACCTCCACCTGTGCTCCGTTGAAATGAAGTTCCATACATCAATATATTCATGACGATATGAAATCGGCTCTCCAGTTACAACCACAGGATAATGAGCGTATACTTTCACCGTCTCATGATCGTGACAGACAGAAAAACCAAGAATTCTCCGGTGTAATTCATTCACGCGTCCCAGTGAATTAAAAAGCTCAACGACACCTCTGAGACATCGAGTCAGTGTGTGAGCATTTTGCCTTTCTGCAATTGTGAGATTACCTGCAGGGGACTTTACTTCGCAAGCCAGAAATGGGAAAAGCATCTCTTTTATGCCCTTGCAAACAGAAGTCTCGTCGGGTTCTCCAAGTAATGGCTTGAGCTTGCGAATCTGCTTGCAGGTAAATGCACCTTGTGAAAAGCCTACGGCATAGTCTGGTCGTGGTGCTGGGAGAGATGCATTCGGTTCTTTTGTCCCTGAACTTCGTCGTATGCTCGGATCTTCATCGAGAGAAGTTGACCAACTCCAAGGCTGATTCATACTTTCAATCAAACTCGGAGTAGAGTTCAGTCGTCCACTATACATCTCAAGGACAGCTGAAGGAACAATCCATTGACTGATCATTCGAGTGACTCCGGTCTCGTTCCCATCTGATAATCGCTCCCGAACATAGGCGCAAGCGTTATCCTCGAATGCCGTGCCACTGGGAGTTTCATATCCATCTCTTTTGAGAAGATCTTGGCATAGTCTTTTATCATCGTTTGCAACCCTATTCGCAACCCCATACTCAATTTTCAAGTAGCTGCCTTTAGACTCAAGGTATCTCTCACAGGCTCTTGTAGCATAGGGTTGAGACTTGGCCCCTGTTGTTGGCTCGATGGTTTGTGTCATTAGAGGATTGGTTGGAGGCCTAGAAGCAAGGTGGACATTTGATAACTGGGTGTTAGGGGTAGATTGAGGCATTTCTTTTGGCCAAATTCCGTTGTTGATCCAGTAATATACAGCAGCATCCCCCTTGATTTGTGGACTTTCTAGGCGCAACTACTATGAGTTTAGTTTTGATCCGGTCTCCATTGTGAAAGACATACGCAAACCCACCTCCTGGTTATCCGGAACTGGGGTATCCTGCTCTTGACGCTGCTTCTTGGACTGCGGTTCTGGGCTAAAGGATGATGGCCCTGGTGTTTGTGCCTTCCTCTTATTCTGTGTCTTTGCCGAGGGACGTATCTATAACAAACATGGAGTCAGTATCTTGAGGCATTCGAGTACGCAAGTTCTCACACCATACCTCTTTATGCTGGTCTTTATTCAGATCAAGTTCCCTTTTTTTATTGGCTACACCCTGTGCTTCCTTTGGACGGCCACGTTTGGTTGCGTTGGCAGTCTTTTGCGGTGCCGTCCTCTTCGGTGCTCGGCTTGGTGTATTAGCTTGAGGCTTTGGTGTCCGTCTTGAAGGATTTCGTTTCCCCGTGCTGGCCTGTTTCTTCTGTACCCTCGTATGGACAAGAGCACGTTGCTGACGGCCTTTCTTCTTGGAACTTGAAGCCGGTGTCTTCTCTGTATTGGCTTCGCTTTTCAGTGTCTTTTCAATGATGCGTATGCTCCTCCGACGTCCGTGCTGATCTTGTTCCATTGTAAGCACCTGAAGTGTGACAGATGATCAATTGGATAAGGGTATCAGGAGAATGTCTCGGGATAAGAGTATGAGAAAAATGTCTTGGTTGCTGTCTAGCCACAAATTCGATGTATCTACTGATACAAAAAGGGCGTACAGCAGAGAGTTTTAAGCCCCCCAGGTACCAGGCAGGATGCGTTCACAGTCTCCTGAACCTGAACAAAGACTGCAATAAACAAAAGGCGCTTTTTTTACCCGCCCGTTTGGTTCTTTCATCCTTTACCACCAAGACTGTACGTTTTGAAAGCCTGCTAAATAAAGTTATGTATGGTTTCACACCAATACGGTTTTGACCAAACAACCAATAATGTAATAAGACAAAGGGAAAAAGAAAAAAGAAAAGAAAGTGTGGGTAGAAAAACCTCAGGGGTGTAAAGAACCGCGCGGTGCGCAAAGCAAACAGGCGGATGACTGTAGACACACAACATCTGGAGCCCATAAGGTGATATGTCTAGATCCCGTAGGTTTATTTTGATTTGATACTGCCTATAATGTTGTCATTCGTATGTTGTGTAACGAAAGAGTGGGTCGGTCAAAATGAAAAGGTACAAAGTGTAGGGAAGCTGAGCCAGTATTAGCGAACCTTTCCCGCCTCCCCTCCTCTCCTGTTAGAGATCCTGACATTAGATCTAGTGTCAAATGTTATATTAACACTACATCGCAATAGAGCAAGAGGCGGGCCACGGCATAAAGAGTCAAGGGACAACAGAGCGCCCGTAGTGGATTGCAACGATATACCGCGTGTCCGCGTGTATAGAACCAGGTAAAGTGATTTATAGCAAGGGAAAGAGATACATATTCGGCAGAGTGTAGCCTAATGTTGCCTGTAATCGTTCGTGTAGAGTTTGCTGGGCTTACATGCTCGCTCCCCCTGATTCACAAGTCTGCGCGCCTTCTCCAATTTATTGCGTGGGTTGGAACCAACGGGAATGAATACTAGGCGAGAAGGTTTCAATTCCTACGGAGTTCTTGAGGAAAACTAAATATATCAATAGAATAAAAATTGCACAAAAGATATCGGTAACGTTCAGCCGTGGTTTCATCCCGACTTTTCCCAAAATCAACCGACCACAACAAATGCATCTAGTCCAAGCACCACCACCCCTGGTAAGCTGTAACCAGTCGTATACGAAACCTACCAACGCATGGGTAAGCTGGGGTGTGGCGCATCCCTGAGCTACTCACGTTCGTAAGGTATAGAGTTACATGTTATGAGGATACTTGCATGACCACGTATTGCTCCAGTGGCTGAACCTAGGGTATGCACCTGTGATTACACCTGGCCTTATAGTGAAATTTAACCTTAAAGAAGGCCTGTAGCCTCCGTGACAAGTCCGTTCAGTTATCTTTTTGGTACATTTGGTGCGTTTTAAGGCGTCCCGTGGCCATGGCAAAATCTGATATCACTGCCTTACTGACACGTCCATGAGCAAGCTCTAGGGTTCTTTTCTCGTCACGACTTGTTCTATAAGCTCTTTGCATCCTAAATAACCCTTGAGACATACAAGTTGTCCTTGAACGAGCCCAGCCATTTTCATCAAATTGTCATGGTGTGCTTTTGTGCTTTTAATCTCAGAGAAAGGAAGAAGTCTTTAGATGGCTGCTCGTTATATCTAAGAATATTAGTCAAGTGTCCTTAGCATCTTCTGCCGCTAACCCTCTGGTTCTGAGATCTACATGCATAGAAGCCAAAGTCAGATTCCATGACTATCTATCTAGATGCTCATAATGCTATAAAGAAGGAAGAATAGAAGAAAAGAGACCGTGGCAGAGGCCATGTAGGCAGCAGAAGATATGATAAAGTGCCTAAATGAAGTGAATCCTCCAACACATTATTTTATTGTAAACTTCATTAAAGTTTAGCTAGAACAAAAGGGACATTCCCTACTAGATTCTCAATTTTATTGACTGCCTATACATTAATCTGGTTCCCGGAATACGAAGCCCCAGTCCTTAAGATCCGGCAAATCCATAGTATGATCTCAATGCTCTAATAATGCAATGGCCACAACCCTGAATTATTCAATCGACGAACATCCCACATCATCAACCCAATCATCCTATTTCCCGGAATATGCCAGCTATGAGGCAACTCCAGCCCCGACTTCTTGAAATTAAGCTTATTCTGGACCGCATATTTCTTAAGCCTCTCAACAAAAGGATCAATCACACCACGCAAACAGCCAGGCTGGGGCGGAGGACTCCGAGTCGGAAACCCAAACTCCAGCCGAGATGCATCAGGCAACTCAGTGATAAGCGGGTACCACTTCTTCCAATTCGCCCACTCTCTCCACCGATTCAGATTCAGATCATGATTCCCATTGACGAGGTTTAAAAGACACTGGGATATAGTCTGAATCTCAACGCGGGCAACGCCAGGAAGTAAATCCCAGGTAGCAACCTCGGGCTGATACTGGCCGCGGACGCACACAATATGTCCATCCACGGGGAGAACACCTCCCTTATGCAACACAGAGTATAGTTGCAAATGCCACAGGGCGCGATAGACACGATATTCTTCCTCCCACGAGGGCCGGCTCAAATCCAGTTCCTTCATTACATGGAACCTTCCGTTCCAGTAAAAGTGAGCTTGTAGCAGGCCTTCGAGGAATGTCAAGCACGCACAGGCTAATCGTTGGATATTGGCGGCTATGTGTACCATTTCCCATAACACGGCTCGGGATATAGAAGTGGGAGGCTTATGGCGGGCGAGGAATTCTGTTAGGCTGTGTTGTTCCGGCTCTCCTTCGTTTAAGCCACTTCTTCGGATAAAAGGACGTGCTTCTCGGAATGACTCCTGGATTCCTTCTGGGGTTAGTTGTTTTAGTTCTGTGATTCTCCAGAAGTGACGGTGTAGACTGCTCTTTGTGATAGGGTTACCCTTCACGATGATGTTGACTATGTGCGTTGCTGCGGGCTCTGCGTCTTCCTTGGGATTCTTGCCGGGTTCGAAGATCTCTCGTATTCGTGGGGACGCTTCGATGAGGTTTACGAGTGTCACCCAGTCGGGGATTTGTCGGATGATGTTGCATAGCACGATGTAGGGAACCCTTTTGATGCTGAAGGGGTCCATCGTGTTGATTTGTTTTCGCGTGGGTGTTTCCTGGAGCAAGAGATGGGTGACTCAATTGAGTAAGGTGAGGATTATTTGCAAGTATGTCGCTCTCATTCGATTTGGCTATGAAGGGAATATAGCAGACTTATATAACTCCATTTGGTCTGATCGATCCTTATAGAAGCTCTTTTTTGTCTCTAAGTGAGACAGATAAGCTTCAGTGCTTGTGCCTATAGATGTGAGGATCTGCAAGCGCCAGACAGGTTCCTGATACCTTGATGGCAGTTCCCAGCCATAACCGTGTGTAGGTTGCATCTCACTGGAGATGAGTAACTCCTGAGGGTTCATTGTCTTTCCTACGTAGATGTGGGAGACGTCTGGCAGCTTTCACGATGTTAGCTAAAATGGCCCAGAGTCCAGATAATGCAAAGCTTCAGTCTATAAAACCCTAGTTGGGAACGTAACTTTCCGTATCAGAAAGATACATTGTGAGAGTGTATCAACGAAGTGTCTCCATTTGGTGAGGCAATCTTGTAACCGGAGCAGTTCAGCCACATACTCACTCATTTTGTGATTAACTTGCAGATAGGGAACAAAAAAAGAGGGAAAAGAAAAGAAAACCCATCTTCCTTTCATAGAAAGATAGCAATAGTAAAAGACGGAAGTCCCCATCCTATGATGGCGATGATGGCGGAAAAAAAGTTGGAGTCAAAGGGGATCGAACCCTTGACCTCTCGCAGTTTAGCTATGGGTATGCAAAGCGAGCGCTCTACCACTGAGCTATAACCCCAGTTTGTTGATATTTATGATTACATAATGTACTGTATACCACCTCATTATCACAGCAGACTGGGGCTTACTATATAGCACAAGGTAGACTTTTGCAAATATAGGCACTCGGGAAAATCCATAAGTGAGCGAATGGGTTTTTTTCTTGTATACTACGACAGATCGGAATGCTAAATGAAGATTGTGCCCCCGGCTTCCCATTCAAAGAAGACAGCAAGCCTCTATCTCAAGAGATTAATCAGATTCAACTAAATGAAAGCAAATTAAGGACTTTTCTTAGCACTACTTCACAATCTTGTTCCATATGTTTCTGATCTCGCTTTTTCTAGTATACTATTTGCCGAATCATGGTTCGTCTCACCGTGTGACAGCCTTGTTGAGGGTGTTGCGATGGCCGCCTCCACAGGAGGAGCCTGCAGCGTGCATTGACAGGAATCATCACCATGTACCTCCCTCCTGCGGGTAATCATAGCGCATGTCTGCTACTCCCTCCTTGCGATCCAGATATTCCAACCACTTGTTATCGACAATCCGACGCAGATCAAGACGCTTCCCATGAGGCTGGTCTTGATCGATGGTAAGAGCATTCAGGGAGAAATATCCGGTCTGGTTCTCCTTATAACCTTCCGGGTCCAATCGCAAGACCGATATCCTTTGCTGCTCATCGTTGTCCTTGATGGGGGTAATTTGCTTTCCTTCCTCACTAGAAATCGCCAGGTTGAATCTCTCGGGTTCAATCGAGTCCTTTTTCCAGCGCGCTGCGACACCAAAGCATCGAACGCCGCATGTAGGGCAAAAATACCAATTTACCAGACGCTTAAAGCATTGATAATTGCTAAGCTCTTCTAGGTTTAGTGGGGAGAATAAGAAAAACTCGTTTGGGGCATCTGGCAAGCGCATATGGAAGACGCCGGATTTGTGGCAGGTCGAGCAATTGCATTTGTAGAAGCGGGGCTGCGAAGGCGAGGGCGGAGGCGGAGCTGCAGAGTCCCGGACTCCAACTGGAGGCATCGAGATAATTGCAATGAACTTGACTAAACCGCAGTGGCAGGAGCCATGATAGGGGAGGGGAGATGAGTCCATCATGGAGAGAAGCGCGTGAGAGTAAATGCAAGGAGGTAGATACAGATACAGAGCAAAAGTGTGATCGATTCCAATGTTGGCGAACGCTTTCTAGACTATATGTACGGGCGAAAGGATTCTACAGCTAAGCCATTTTAGGGCTATAATCTGACTACTATATCTGAATAGAAAATCACCTAAAATCGCCGAATAATATATAAATATATAGTGCTAAACCTATCTTGGGAATTTTATAGTCCGCTTTTCCATATCTAGATATGTGTAGCCCAAATAGAAACCGCCTTGATTCAGACATATCTTTCTTTAGCACGACATGGTACACACTCCTCCGAGTTTTCTTTTCTGTCACATGCTGGTTGGATCGCTTTCTTGTTCGTAAACATTATCCAGCGAATTGTAGTGGAATCTAGTGGCTATATCCTCTTAAGTTGTCTGAATGTAATAAAATTTACTTCTTACCCTATACGACCATAGTCCCCTTTTGGCTTAGCATCATCCGTCACGATGCACGTGTTTGAATCTAGCTGTTTGGTATTGTATGAGTCTGACTCTGTCTCAAAACCAAGCTTGCAAATACTCAGTACAATGATAGGCTTAGCGTGTATTTGATGGGTTATTCCATTTCTCCGGATGGGAAGTTGAAGGCGCTTCCCGCTATCAAGCATTATTTTCAACATATCATCAAGTTAGCTGCTTGAATCCTTGAATTGGAACTTTACGATGACAGAAATATTTATGAAAAGAATTACTCCGATAAGCGAGGTTTCATTAACACATTATTAGCTTGACGTATATTTCCCAAATTCTCGTTGGCAATTCCCATAGGAACATCCTATCACAAACAATTCCAAGATCCATTCCCGCAATGTACTTCTCACAATTCCAAGTCAAGAAGGAGAACCTTCCCCCTTCAAGTCATCTGAGAGCCTCTCCTAAGCGCAAGGCCACTGTTCATCTCCCCCAGCCCCAACCCAAAGAAGAAAAGTCTCAGTTGAGTTACTCTCAACGACAACCTGCTGCGCATAGCTCTCATTTAAAGCCACACCACCCTCCTCCTCTTCAATCTCAGCCTCGAGAAGAGACTGAACAGCACCCATAAGCAACGCATAATTAGTCTCCTGGAATGGACGTTTATCACGCCACGGATATGGATGCTCCGCTATGTGAGACGCCAGTGGTTTGAAGACGGGCTCGTCGAGGAAGGCAAGGGTGTAGGTTGGCGAGGGAGCTGGAACCTGCACGGGTGCAGGGGGGCTGGTAATGTAGATGGGATGAGCGAATAGAGCCCTAAAATACAACATGACTGTTGTGGACAGGAGGAGGAAAGTGAATGACAGATTGCAGATATCCATGGTGGTGGATACGATGAACTTTGAAACGAGCATTGGTGATAGGTTGTGGTAGATGAAGAGGGGTGGGTTGGTGGATGGATGGGAATGAGGATGAAGAAGGTGAGCCATCTGAGTTGAAAGGTAAAGGTATCTTTATAGCTGTCCTTGACTTGTTAAGTTGTATTCTACTAACCCTTCTCAGAAGCGGAGTCGCTGTATCTGTATGCTTGATGGATGATGAAGGCGGCATGTACCGGAGGATTCCCGGCAGATTCATATTCGATGTATACAAAGTGCAGCTATGTGGATATGTAGCTTTTGGTACATTGTACGAAACTCACGTCTGTATGTGAGTAGCTTAGCTGCAAATATTCAACACACCGGAGACCTTCGCGCAGAGACCTGAGTCGTAAGGATGAATATACTCTTTCCAACGCCACACGGGAATATACAATTCGGTAAATTTCACCAGCCAGGGGTATCAAGATCAGCCACTCCAGATATAACACTCGAACAACACAGTCAGGAAGTTTCCTGTTCAACCAAGTACTTCCGACAGGCGTCTTTCAGCCTATTGATCCGCCGCTGTGTGTGCACAAATACCTCCCGATACATGTCAAGACTCTCCTGCACGACCTGCTGTCGTGTCCGCCTGCCGGCGCAGATCTCCCGCATTCGCAGCTCCATCTCCTTCCGGAGGAAAGGTTTGCTCAGGGAAGGGCTATCCGGTATACCGGCGAAGACATTATCATATCCTTCCACCAGAGCAATGCCCAATCGGGTGGGGATCAGTTCCTTAACTGCGTTTCGACCGCTTCCGCGCGAATGGACGGCAACGTATTGTCGTTCCTTGATTTTAGCAATGTGCTCCGCCATGGTAGCATCGGTGCCGATTCCATTGGCGTCCATGAGGCCAATCAGTTCCGGTTCGGTCAGGTAGTTGGGAGGTGAGGTTTTGCCATCGAATATCTTGGCTTCAGTGGGCTCGAACATCTCGCCCATCTGATAATTTGGCAACTGTTGGCTACTCTCCCACTTGTCGTATACATAAACATCTAGGTAGTTTCGCTCGAGGACTAGGAGACCCTTGGCGTGGAAGAATTCGTCGCCGTATTGGATCTCGATTTCCGTCGACTGACCTTTGGCATCCTCGGAGCAGCAGGCAAGGAAGCGACGGACGACGAACTCGTAGACTTTCTTCTCATCAGCGGTAAGAGCTGTGGGTGCGACCCAACAAATGGGATGTATAGGCGGGTGGGCTTGATCGTTGTGTCGACCTGATCGTGGAGTTTTGAATGCTCCGTCCAGAAGACTTAAGACGTTAGCAGCGCAGCAAGGCATGTCTGAGAGATGCTTACTGTCGAGCGTATTGTCCCCAATTTCCGTCCGGTAGCTGCGTTTCGACGAGCTTCTTCAAGTCAATCCCCTTATCAAATTGATCTGTTTCGGTACGGGGGTAACTGATAAACCCCTTCGTGTATAGGGCTTCCGCGACCTGGACTGCGTAAGTCATTGCTCGAGCATCTGACAGACCACACGCCTTACCTTCATGATCGTCTGACTGTCCATGCGGAGATATCTACTCCCCATCATTTGGAGGTCCACTGTTGTCAACGGTAGAGGTCTCCATTTGCTGGTGGGCTTTTGGGTGACCTTGGTGACTTTGGCTTTCTTTGCCATAAGACACCGCTCGAGCATCACCGTCACCGCAACTCTGTCAAATAGATGAACACGTTTCCAGAGGAAATTGACCTTGATATCGTCCCGGGTATGCATAACTTTGATTCCCCAAAAGGTCTCGGGTTTGAAGTTCTTGACGCGGAGATACCGATCGACTACAAAGCCCAGGGTCGGGAATTGACAGGATCCTGGTCGGTAGTCAGAACTGCTCGTACAAGGAAGGATAGAAACATACCATAGCTTATGATAGTATCCTGTAGCGCTGCAGAAAGAGGTTTCAGTTGAAGCGTTTGCAGACGAGTGAATGCCGCACCGATCCGGAGATCAAGTTCAATTCTAGCTGCGACAGCGTTTGCTTGGAGGTCATCAAGTTCGATAAGTGATCGAGCAGCGTGAAGCACATGACTTTACCTGAAAATCAGCCATACAAATCATCTGGAGAGGGGGGTTATCCTTACGCTTTCTCTGTATTGCTGAACCTTGCCCGTTTGACGACGATGCGAGAATTTCCTTCCTTTGCCTGCTTACGGATTTCCGTTCCTATATGCTCACCTTCTCGATCACAGTCTGTCCAGATAAAAAGGGCCTTGCATCTCCGGGCCTGTTCCTGGATGTTCTTCGCAATGGCTACTTTATCCTGCCCCCGGGCATTAGCTCTTGTTTCATACCAGAACTTCGTAGAGTTGCGCAGAAAAACATACGTCAGCCACGGACTCGTGTACTGGAGCTTCGAAGAGAGCTGATGGTGGACAAGATAGCCAAGTTCTGTATTGGCGTTCGAAATCCAGACCAGTTAAGTGACCAATGACACTGGTCATGGTCACGGAGCAAGTACCCCAAGAGCCACCAAAATTGAAATCGAATACATAGTTTTTGACATATTGATTTCCCCGGATGGCTATCTACAGTACAGCTACTTCAGCATCTATAACCCCCAGGGAGAACTGGCAAGTCCCGGCACTGAGCCACTTACTGTTTGAAAGGAGCCACCGGACAAGTGCTGGGCCACGGCTTTGGCAATGGCCGGCTTTTCTGCCACGCATAGCACCCTTTGCGCCGTCATGGCAATTGCCTGAGTTGATCAGGAAGGCTAAGGTGTGCCCATGACCGATGCTCCCTTCCAGAGCGCAACCGAAACAAGAGTGTTGACCTTTATGGCGAAGTGGACAATCTCACATACTATTCATCTACTTTGTCGTTGTAGACGCGAAAAAGACGCGAGTCACGGGTATGGTGCCTTTTTGCCTGAAAATGCTTGGTACTGCCTGAGGCCTATGGAATGGCCCGAGCTCCCATCAATGGCCGGATTGGGACAAGTTGCGGGCCTGAATCAGGCAGCCGCGGGCGGTTGCTCGGTCACGATTCCCGGCCAGCTTGTTGTGGTGATTGTTTTGACTCCATCCACAACCCGGTCTTGTCTTGCTTCCACTCACATGCGAGAAGCTTCCCTGTCACCCCAGCAGCAACCAGCTAACTAAAAATCCTCCTTCAGTGCATCTGACCAAGATGGCGCTACCCCTCCCTGACGTCAAGTCTGTCGTGGACTGTGCCTCCTTCAGCCACACTGTCCTACCCTTCTTGTCGCAAATCACGGCGCTTCCCGAGCGACTGCAGCTGGCAGCCGCAGCCAAGGATGTGAATATCCTCAAGGACATCTACCTCTCCACCAATCCCTTCATCTCAGCCCTCTTCTTGAGTCTGGCTCTATCAGTCCTGTTTGTCATCGCTTCGGAGATCAACAGGAACTACTCCCAGGTTGACCGGTTCTGGAGTATCCTGCCGTCCATCTACAATGTGCACTTTGCTCTCTGGGCCCGCTTGTCGGGTCTTCAGACTCAGAGCTTGGATACTATCGCAGCCATCACCTTGATTTGGAGCGTAAGTTACCGTGATGGCCTGCGCATTACGTCCACCCCTGCTAACCTACCTAGGCCCGCTTGACGTTCAACTACTGGCGCCGTGGTGGCTACTCAATTGGCTCGGAAGACTACCGCTGGCAGATCGTACGCTCCAAGGTCAACAACCGTTTCGTCTTCTTCATCTTCAACATCCTCTTCATCAGCCTGACGCAGTCCTTGCTGCTGCTCTTGATTACGGCTCCGACCTACAACTTCCTCCTTCTCTCGCGCTTGTCGGACCACAAATCCTTCGAGGTTCCGGACCTTGTCTTCTCCCGGGTGGCCTTCTTCTTCATTATTATCGAGTACTTCGCCGATCAGCAGCAATGGAACTTCCAGACTGCCAAGCACAACTACCAGCAGACAGCCCGCATCCCCGACCAGTACAAGGGCCGGTATGAGCCTGAGGATCTGGAGCGCGGCTTCGTCGTCAGTGGTCTCTGGTCCCTGTCTCGTCACCCGAACTTCCTCTGTGAGCAGGCCATCTGGCTCACTCTGTACCTCTGGAACTGCTACCGCACCGAATCCTACGTCCAGTGGACCGGCATTGGTGTCTTGGGCCTTCTGCTCATCTTCCAGGGTAGCGTTCGTCTCACCGAATCGATCAGCGCCGGCAAGTACCCTGAGTACAAGGAGTACCAGGCTCGCGTGGGACGCTTCATTCCCCGTCTGTCGGTCAAGCCCAAGTACAAGAGCAGCAAGAAGAAGGCTCGCAAGGCTGTCACTGAGCAGCCCGAGGAGAGCGAGCAGACTACTCACGAGGCGGACAAGAAGAGCCAGTGAATTTGGAGGATACTTGATGTGCCGAGTTCACATTGATCTGCCTCTTATTTCGGTTCTGGGTGTTTATCATTTTCATTGATCCCGGTTTCATTTGATGATTTCGAGTTGTTTTGGAGTACATATCTTTTGGTGTTGGATCTTCTGGAAAACATATATCATTATGCTTTCTGCATATACTTTGTCATGTTCAGTCTTTGATATCCTTGTCGAATTTATGAAAAGTTCCACCACTGAAGAAGCACGCGGCAATTGGGCGGGCCCCTTGTATGCGAAATTGACAACACGCCTTCTGGCTTCTAAATGCACAGCGCAAATGATGTGTTGCAGACTCGAACCAGTCCTATTTACAAGTATAGTTACCCTACACCGCACAATGGCCTACGATGTCACTTGAGTTATACTTAAATATAATTTGAACCTGCCTACCATCTATATATGAAGAACACCAATATAGAATAACTACCTACTATACAGTACAATACAATACAC